AAGAATAGTTAAATCCATTATACTCAATACAACCTAGAACTGGAAATAGCCTTCAGGTTTAGTGTACTCAGGAGGTGTCTGAGCCCATTTTGCCTTCACATTTTTACCTCTTAACAGATATGCTGACAAAAGAACCTCCCTGGTGTGATGGCTCCAACTGCTATGAATGTGCTGCCAAATTCGGAGTCACGACAAGAAAGCATCACTGGTAATATGAGCCACCTTGCTGTGCTTACAAGGAAATGGATTCCTCCCCAAATGTAGCTAGGCTTCTTCCTTCCAGTAGTTTAGGAAACCTCCATGTTAACATAGGTACACAACCACTAATCCAGCTGAAACATTCCATCCTGTCTTAGATCAGAAACTTGTAGTCTTCAAATATGAAATCGTATTTTAAGCAGCTTGTGCATTTAATACTCTGGTTGTAAATGAGAAATTATGTCCAAGTTCCAGTAATGAAACAGGATTTAAATACCCAGTTGTCAGAGTGTGATGCACTCCACAGAGGAGCAACAATATATTTTATTAAGACAGTGAGTTAACAGAAGTTTAATGGTAACTCTTGGCAGTGGTTTATCAGGACTTTATTTCTTGCACAGAGGTTGGGGTCAGGGAGAGCCTCCTGTGGAGGCATGAGGTAGAGAGAGGACAGCCACTGGGGCTGTGGCTTACCCAGGAAAGACAGGAGGGAGCACACCACCACCACGGTGGTGACCTGCACCAAAAGAGGTGGCAGATTTGGGCAGGTGTTGACAGTTCAAGTTTGGGATCCTGTTTGCAGTGTGGAACTGGCTGGAGATGAACATGAGCTGCTCTTTTGTAGATAGCAGTTGCCTTTTTTAAATAGTCTGAACTTGTACAAAACATGCTGGGTTGGAAGGATGTTAAGATTTTTCTTAGCTCAGTGTGCTAAAGAAACTACACGTGCATCAGTAGAAGCAGTGCCAGGTGGCTCACTAGTTCAGAACCAGCATGTACTGTTGGCATTAGTCAGTTATTCATGACAAATATCAGAAGATACAAGGCACTCATAGCATTTCAGTTGCTAGTGTGTATTTAATGATGCTGTCATTGATAAAGAATGTCAAACAGTAACATCCTGGTGCTCACTAGGAGGGAATTCACTGTTCTCCCACCCTTCTTCTATCAACAGCCGACACTGTGGACGCCTGCTCTGTCATAAGTGCTCAACAAAGGAGATTCCTATCATAAAATTTGATCTGAACAAGCCAGTTCGAGTTTGCAACATCTGCTTTGATGTCCTGACTCTGGGAGGAGTCTCCTAGTATGCTGTGGAAGTAAAGGGATTCCCAGTCAGTGCTCCTGACAGCAGCTCTGCTTACAAGCCCTCTGGATAGGGAAGAGGAGGCCTATACACGTCTTCTGCAATAGACTGAACTAATTAAGGACCCTGTCATGATATACTCTGGTATAAATGATTTTGTATGACTGTAAATGTATCAGGCTGTGATAGACTTCACTAGGAATCAGAGTGGATTGTTGAAACCAAGTGACAAAAGAATTTAGACCCTCTTCTAGTTGCAGTGGGGTATGGAAGCTGAAATTTATACTGATTGAATCGGCATAAAACAGGTCTGTCCTCAACATGGTGCTTTGCACTGAGCAACTCTATTAAGTCCTGTGGCTTTCAGGCTGCTTAGTAGAGATGGTATTGAGTTTCAGGGTAACCAGGTATCTTTCTTTGCTTTGTCTTAGAGATAAACGTTCCCCTTCTCTAGAGAAGACTTTTTGTGAAGCTAAACTGAGCTGTTGCAACCACTGTTCAAGAAACTCTTCAGACCCCAGGGTAGTTCTAAGTATAGCTCAAGAATTGTGGCCTTACAACAGAAAGCTTTACAACATCTGATGCAAAGCAGTCAGAATTGCAGATCCACATCTTGATACCTCCTCAGCAAATGACTCATTAGCTTTAGCATGTTCAAGAGAAGTGCAAGATTGTTTTAGGAAATGCTCTTGCTCATACCTGCTGGAACTGTCAGTCTTTGTTGCACTTTTGTATTTGCATTGCTGGTCCTTCAGTTCATGGCACTTGTATAAATGACCATGAGTTGCTGAAAGGCCTGAGCATGTGCTAAAGGAGGAACACTAAAACTGGTGAAGTCTAACTCACAATCCAGCAATAAATGCTGAAGTGCATTAAGAATCCCAGGAGGGAGAGTAACACTTTCCTGGGGCTCAAGGGGCCTGGTGACTGCTGTGGGAGAGTCAGTAACCCTACCAAGTGTAGAATGTGCTGCACCTCTAGACACTAAACTTGGGTCCATTTTCAGCGGGATTGCTGGTGAGTGGGAGTGTACATGGAGGCTTCCTGTTAGGAGTAAGCTGCAGTATTTTAATCTAGGCTGGTTGTACTCTCTTAAACATGCTGAATCTGTGGAAACCTACCACCACATTGTCTAGGTAAACAGGAAAGTACTTGACTGGTAGACCAGCTTGTGATTTGGTGGGCAAAGGCTTCATTTAGAAAATATGGGTACTTAAGCAAAACTACATGCCATGTTAAAGCTGTTTTTACTTCAAGACATAAAGCTAGTGTAGACTCAATTCAGCATTCCTCATCTTTATTCCATGAATTGGTGTGCATTTTTTAATGACTGTTATCTCTGCTGAACAGTATGGGCAGGTGATGATGTGTTGCCCTGTTTGGAGCAGTGACTTGTTGGTCTTCAAGACTAAGATGAGATGATGACCCAGACTGCTGCTGCTATGGGACACTTGCTCAGTTTTTCTCAAGCTTGTACAAGGAGAGGATAGGAGAGGGTGTAATTGCTGACATTTGTATGATTAATTTCATGTCAAGTCTCACTTCATCTGCACTTTGATCTTCCAATATGCATATATTGTAACTGGAATCGCCCTTGGACCACTAGGGAAGAACAATGGATGACAATACAAACTTGCCTCACTGTTTGATGTCTGCTGCTGTCATGTTGCAACAGAATGCTCTGGGTAACACAGCTGGTCTCTAACACAGTTACTAATGCAAATGGTGCATCTCTGGCATAATATTGTAGGTGAATGGGGGAAAATAGTGGTGTCAGTTTATGTTAGCTACAACAATTGATGGTGTCAGTTAACTACAATCTACAGTTTGGGAGTTTTTGAGTGAAAGAGATGATGGAAAACGTAGTTCTGGTATTTCAGGGTGTCACTGGTTGCAGGTCTCTAGCAGTGAAAAAAGATGGAGAGAAAGTGCATTTGGTGAAAGAAGTCTTGACTGTAGTCCCATGATAACATGTTGTTTTCCTTCTTGGCTTGGAGCTGAAGTGATGTGGAGGGGTAAGAGTGTGCTCAGAATATTGAAAGATCGTGCAGAGGGGTTTTCCAAGGCCACAGCCTATGGGCTTCAGCCTAATTGGAAAACTGCACAGCATGTAATTGCCAAAGCATTGAACATCACTTTTGCAGTGGCTTCTCTGATGTAAGGGCAAGGGAACAGGGAGCTCACCTCTAACAGATTAAGCAGGCTTTTTAGTGATGGAAAATATGGATCTGGTCAAAATTCAGTTTAACTGAATGGCAAGTTAAGGCTGGGTAGTTGCTCTTCTAAAAAACAGGATATTGATTATAACTGTCAAACTGTGGGAAATATCTGGGAAATCATCTGTAGTGCTCCTGGTTTGCTGTTTACAGCCAGTACTGCCCCAGCTTACTTACTGAAGTCTGAAAGGAAAGTTGAGGTTATTGTTAAGTATACAGCCTGAGGTGTAATTCAAAGCAACTAAATTCAGCAAATTTGATCCTTTTAAAGTGCCTTTGAGATAGTTTCCTTCCAGCCAACTCTAAATAGCTTTCTGCCAGAGCTAAAGGGGAAAAGCTCACAACTTGAACCAAAACCCAAGTTACTTCTTTACTAATTCAGCTGTGGAGTTGACCCCACCAGACAACTGGTGGGACTCAATCCCTGACACACTCTGCCTAGTGTTGGTCTGAACTCTCGGACCACTGAGATTTTTTGGGGAGTTTTGCTGGCAATGCTCCACTACAGGGCACAAATGTGAATGAAGCACTTGGTAATGTAGTGGTGGTCAACACATTTCTAACTCTAAACAACTGCTCTTCCCTTTTTGTAGCATAATACAGTTGTTACCAAACCCCCCACCCCTCTTACCCCGACTTTTAGTGGTGTGTATTAACTTAAGACTCAAGTCTGCCAAGCACTGAACAAAAGGTTAGATGGAAAATCAGTTTGTGTCCTTGGAAGTGCTGCTTCACTCGAGGTTTCAGGCACTTCAGCAGGGCTGTGTGGGAAGTCGGGTGGTTCATGCTGTAGCTTTTTGTTCTGAGATTGGATTCCTTTTGATTGCAGTCATCCAGCACTCTTACACAAGCAAATACCGTGGTCCAGCACTTACACAAGCACTAACCGTGGTCTGGCTGAAATTTTTTGTCTGTAAAAAGTGCAGTCGCTGTTTCACACCACTGAGTGGAGTGAGAATGTTGCTGTTTAAGGTACTAACAGAGCAGAGTAAGTTGCTGGCTAAAAGCTGACAGATGCCTTAATGACTTCCTGTGCTGGAGATAACAGCTTGTCCAACTGCTCATGTAGTGCTTATAAACTAACGTGTAACAGTATGGGAGGCAAAGTTGGATCGTTTTGTAGATCAAATGTTAATAGGCAAGTCCTCTTTTTTCTGTAACCAACAGAGGTGGTCACTGCAGCAAACTGGTCTCTAGAAAAATCAAAGCTTGTATGAGTGACAGAAATAACTGAATCTTCTAATACCCTCTGTGAAATAGAAAAGGAAGTCTTAGAACAATGGCATTTTATCTGCAATGTTTGTCTGGAGTCGTTGTAAAAATGTATTTTTCCAATATGCATTACTTTGTTGTGTAATGATTCTACTTGTAATAAAATGCAGTACTAGATGATGCATTGTGAGGTGAAACCTTGCTAAGGAAGTGTCTGCTCCTGTAGAGACAGCTGCCCCTCTGCAAGCTTACCCTTACAAACCACCAAGAAAACCAGGGATACAACATCCAGTCAGGCATAACAACTTTATTCTTTGTTCTGAAACGAGTCCATGTCGTGGAACTGCTACAAGTGTTCTTTTGGCTGTCAAGGTCTGGTGTTCTAGCTTGTACCATGTAGTCATCTTGAATGCCTTATACTAGACTTACCTATAACCAGTCTTGTGAAACAAACCCGAGCTCCCCACGGGCCAGAGCTGTTCATGGAGTTCATCAGTTCAAGTTACTGACACTTGGTGCACTCAGTTGTGTACTGGAGGCAGCTCAGCCCCCGGGAGAGCAGAGAGCTGCTGCAGCTTCACTTCAGGAAAACTTCAGTGCAATAGCAAACCCAGCCAAGACTTCTGGGTGAGATTGTGATGCATTTAGTCTTTTATTAATAAAACTTACTGAAGTACAGATGAATGGTGAGCTTTATTAGAGCACTGTCTTTGGTGACTTGAGCCCTCTGTAGCTATCACTGTTTTCTTCCCACCCTTTTCCTTTTCCACCATGGGAGAATCCAGCTGAGCTGCTGAATTGGAGTTATAAACATGATAGTCTTGGAGCACTTCAGGTCAGTGAGGGTGTCTCCTTGTTTGCTTTAATAGATGACTTATTCCTAGTGCAAGACAAACTCTTCCTGCCCAGTGTTTCCAAACTCTAAACTGAGGAATAAGCTGTGAACTGGTTTTCAACCAACTTTAACTTGAACCAACACCTTCCTGCCCTGCCTTTTTGCAGCAGTTTATTTGATTTTTGTGTAGCTCTTGCTATCAAAACCATCCCCTCAGCACTGTTTGTATAGTGATTGAGTGTAACAGCAAGATGAAACTTGCTTAGAAGGTCAAGCTGGTCCACCTTCACTGGGACTGGTTTACCCTCACAAACGACTTCTTACAGCATTTTAGTCTAGAATTTGCTCCAACTTTCAAATAGTTTTAAAAAGCTCTTTTAAAGGCATTTGCCAATCATTTGGGTGGATGGTTTCACTACTTTAAATGCAATTTCTTTTTAAAGTGGTGGTGTCTTCTTAAACGTGGCAAAGGCCAGAGTTGTGGAGGCAGTGAAGTGCTGCTTTGCAGCTTTCCTGCGCTTTTTACAAAGCTTGATCTTCAGCATTGTGTGAGTTGAGTTGCTAACTCCACCCCCAAAGATGGCTCAAGCCCAGGGCTGAGGTTTGGTTCTGCCACACATCCTGCTCCTCCTGTGAGTGACACGAGCTGGCACAGCGGGGCAGTGCCTGGAAGAGCCTCTCTTCAGGATGATGATAGGTAAAAAACCCCAAAAATAAAAACACAACCCCTGGGCCCCGACCCTCCCACTATTACAACAAGCATGTACATGTTGAAGTTGCTGCGTGGCTCCATCCCTGGCAGCTGTAGCATCCTCTGAGCTTTTATCAGTGAGAAATGCTGTCATGTGTCCTACTGCAAGGGAGTAATGGTGCCTCCTGTAAACTTGCTAATTAAATAACTAATCACTTCGATTCTGGGCCTCTCTTTAGAGGTGCTGGTAGCTAAAAATCAGTTTATAAGCACTTTCCAGCTGCTTGACATAGGTGGCAGCTGCCTTAAGAGAAGAACTGACCACAAGTCAGCAGGGACCTGTGCCACCACTGATCTGATCTCCATGTCTCTCTCAAAGCTCAGCTACACCAAAACTGATTTTAACAGCAGATTCCATTATAACCAGCAACTGCTTCCCTGCAGCTTGAGGTTTGTAGTGCCTGAACCCTGTGCAGGGATTCCTTCCTCCCTTTCAGCCCCACCCAGAAAGGGTAATAACCTGCCCTGCATTTCTGGGAGTCACTCATATTGCTGAATTCTGCCAGCTGTGATACACTAAGTATGGATTTTACGAGTGCTGGGTCTTGTAAGGGCACATCCAGCTCAGGTTATAGTCTGAGAGGCACAGACCAGATGGGAGGAAGTTTTATACCAGAATGGAAACAGGAGGCAGATTACAGTAGGATGGTTCTGTTGCCACCCAGACAGCAAAAAGAAAGCTATTTAAAACTACTCATTCCTGATCAGAACAGTTTGAAAGTGGTGAATCACAGACCAGGAGAGTGAGGTTAATGTCAAACAACAATTCTCATAGGTGGCTTCAATATCTTGGCACAGTATCTAATGCAAACACTGAGTGAGGAAATACAGCTCTGGCCTTTGCCTTCTCTACTCCAAGAATTTGATAAAGCTTGTGTGTAACTAAACTGGGCAAGTTCCTAGATATTGCAGACCTTAATTGCAGAAGAAATTCAGGGTTCTCCCTGCTACCTTTAAACTCTTTGGAGTGAGTCAGGTGCCTGGGAAGGAGCATCAGCACTTCCCTGCATCAGGACCTGAGGACTGCACACCGAGTGTGGGGAGGGATGCTGCAGCAGTTCCTGTGCTCACTGACCTCGCTGCTTTAAACCACAGCACACTGTCCCACCACTGTGCACACTAACATCCATTTCCTGACTGCACGAGCAAGCAGTTCTAAAATACAATTCAGGCTGTGCCTCTTACAGTTTGTTCCCAGGTGCAAAAATATTTCTCATAGAAATAAAGAAAGCATCCTGTGACTTGACTTTTTAGCCATTAACCTGGGTGAAGTGTTTCCTCCTTCACTCAACTCCACCTCCACACGTTAAAAAGCATCACAAATAACAGGAGATTGTTATTGCTCCCTTTGCATGGACAGGTGGAAGGGCTGGAGCTGCCCACTCGAAGTGCAAGGTTTGACTGCAGGACTGTCGGTGCCCCGCAGTCAGCCGGTGAGGAGGACACACTGCTCGGCCAGGGGAGGGCAGCCCTCGTACTGCTGCAGGTGAGGGTCATCCAGGTCCCCTCTGTCGCTGTGCTGGGACTGTGGCTGTCCCCAGGGGGGGCCCGAGCTCCTCACACACACACAGCGGCTGCCCTGCCAGCCAGGGCTGAACAGCTTCCGAGGGACTCCAGCCCAGTCTCTGTGCACGCCCCCACTAGGAATGCAAAATGGAAATAAATTACCGTTCAAACACATGGAAATGCTTCCAGTCAACACAGAATCCTTAGGAAAAAAATCCTAAGACAATCTGGGAAAACTAGAATTAACACTGAGGCAGACTTTGCTCCCAGCAGCCACCATCCCACAGCTGATACCTTTTTATTGGCTGTGCTTCAGAAACCTGTGGCCTGAACCTGCTTTCATCACTGCTGCTACAGGCTCTGCCCTTCTGAGAGTGACCAGCTCCTGCATTCCATGTTTCCACTGCTGGAAGAGGAATCACAGCCTTGTGCAGCACAGCAAAATGCCTTTTCTAGAGGTACCTAAATGCTCACAGGTGACCACACATCTTCACAGAATCACAGTGGCTTAGGTTGGAAGGGACCTTAAAGATCATCCAGTCCACCCCTGCCACAGGTAGGGACACCTTCCAATAGACCAGGCTCTTCTAGGCCTTGACTAAACACAGTGATTTTGAGAACTGGGGCAGAAGAAAAAGCACTTCCCCACCTAATTCATCATGTGTCTTTATGCCTAAGTGTCTCTATGGGCCAAATCCTGCCTGTTCCCCAACCACTGCAGCTTCTAAGCCTCTTACACAAGTCTGCCACATGACACCTGGTCCCAAGGCTGTCCCCAAGCCCAGTGACACAGAGAAGCAGATCCCTGGGCAACACAGCCTGTGGGCTGACATGAAGCCCATGCATTTTGCAGTGTGGTCTGTGAAATGATTTCATCTTCAAACAAAATAGTGCCTAAGCTGAGAGACAGCTACTAACAGGAAAGTAGGAAATGATTATTCAAAGCTTAAGCTCATTTTTATGTGGTTTAAGTGAAAATGTGGTGTCAGCCTATGAGCCAGGCTGTGAAACTGTCTGAAAAACACAGGTTACAGCTTGTATTCCTGATAGGTGACAGAACCTGTTTGAATCCCTGTCCTACTGGGATTTCTGTGCTGTTTTGCTGAGAACAGGAGGATCAGGTGCACATGTGGTAAATTATTTGATTCCAGTGTGACAGAAGAGGTTCAGCCTGGAGAAAAAGAGGCTCAGGGGGGACGTTCTCACTGTCTACCACTCCATGACAGGAGTTTGAAGCCAGGTGAAGGTCAGGCTCTGCTCCCAGGGAACAAGGGACAGGGTAAGAGGAAACAGCCTCAAGTTGTGCCAGGGGGGGTTTAGGCTGGATATTGGGGAAAACTTCTTTATGGAAAGGGTGGTCAGGCACTGGCACAGCTGCCCAGGGCAGTGGTGGAGTCCCACCCCTGCAGGGATTTAAAAGCTGTGTGGATGTGGTGCTTGGGGGCACAGGTTAGTGCTGGCCTTGGCAGTGCTGGGGGAATCGTTTTCTCCGAGAACTTCTCCCACCTGAAGAACCCAGTGAATTCAGACAGGGACAGTCCCTGCCTGGCATATTCCAGCCCTGGCAGCACCACTGCACACACAGCGTGTGCCAGGTCACAGACCTCACCTACCCATGGAGTGTGGTGGCTGCACGAGCCAGGACATCTTCCCATGCCCCTCCTGCCAGGAGAGGCAAGAACAAAGCACAGGGTACCCAAAAGAAGGCTCTGCTCCAAAGGGGACAAGCTTACCTCTGTCTGGTGCACCAGAACCGGGTGCCTTTAGCAGAGCTCCATTCAGAATTGCAGGGTGGGAACTGCTGCTTCTTCTGCTCATTTTCTGTTTGAAATTTGAGAGCTTCCTCAATGGCAGCCTCAACCTCCCTCAGGGCTTCTGTCGGTGCCCCATTTTCATCGTAGAATCTGCCCACCAGCTTCCCTGGGAGAGGAGATCAGTTAAGACCACAGTGCTTCCAGGCAAGGAAAATGCATAGTTCTGGAGGGGTTTTATTTTTAATTTGTTATTTAGAGACAAAAATAAAAGGAGATATCACCATGGCCCAATTTTAGAACTGAACTGAGTTTACATCCCTTCAACCCTTGGATCACTCAGCAATTTACCCATATTAATAAATCCATGCAGGATAAGCTTAGGCACAGACTCCTTACAGATCTGAAAACCAAAGCCAGTTTCAGCTGCACAACCCAGAAGCCATTCCCACCCATGCAACTCATTCCCCAAAATAGTTTCCCTGCACTGCTGCTCCTACAGTCTCCTGAGTGCAGGTGATCTCAGCCTGGCTCCAGGCTTTTTGCTCAGCAGAGACAATCAAAGCAGGACAACAGCCAGGTGGGAAAACTATTAAACTTTCCATGGGAGGGAAGCAGACCTTGAAGATCTGGCTTGGCTGCTGGTTCCTCACAGGGCTCAGGACCTTGGGCTGTGCATGAGCCCACCCCCCACCCGGCACCTACCCACGGGCTCGTAGTTGTCTCTGTAGAAGCTCAGCCAGCGGTGGATGGAGAGCAGCTCTGGGGGTGACAGCCCTGCCACGTCGTCCACCAGCCCCGCCGGGGTGAAGTCACCGCTGGCAAACGCTCTGGTGGCATCTCTGCCTGTGGGACAGGGGTGGTGAGACCCCAGCCACAGAGTGAATCCCCCGGCCAAGGATGATCCCAGCCTTGGAATGACAGCCCAGGCATGGAGTGGGTTCCCCAAACAGGGGGTGAGCTCCTTCTCCTCGCAGCCAGGGGTGAATCCCCCAGACATGGAATAAATGACCCAGGGGTGAATCCCCCAGGCATAGAATGAATCCTCCAGCCAGGGGTGTGACCCCAGCCTTGGAACGACAGCCCAGGCATGGAGTGGGTTCCCCAAACAGGGGGTGAGCTCCTTCTCCTCACAGCCAGGGGGTGAATCCCCCAGACATGGAATGAATCTCCCAGGCATGGAATAAATGTCCCAGGGGTGAATGCCCCAGGTATGGAATGAATCCCCCAGGCATGGGATGAATCCCCCACGAATGGGATGAATGTCCCAGCTATCGAGCGAATTCCCCAGGCGTGAATCCCCCAGGCACGGAGCGCGTTCCCAGACAGCGGCGAGACCCGATGACACCCCCCACACCCCCTCCCCAGCCAGGGGGTGAATTCCCCAGCCGGGGATGATCCCCTCCCTCCCCAGCCAGCCCACGCCAGACCCACACCCAAACCCCCCTCCCTGACCCACCGGCGGTACCTGCGAGCCCGCTGTAGGCGCCGCCGGGCCCATAGTGTTTGCGGCCCCGCTCCACATCGAAGACCCGTCCCAGGAGGGCGAGGTAGAGCCCGGGCTCGCCCGGTGCCCCCCGGTAGCGCCGCAGCTCCGCGGCGCAGAGCAGGCGGGCGCGGGGCTCGAACCCGCGGCCCAGGAGCCAGGCGGCGGCCAGGCACAGCAGCCCCGCGGCCGCGCCCCGCCACATCGCGCCGTGACACCACGGCGCTTGCACGACAGTTTCCTCGCCGCACGGCAGTGTGGCGGCCAACCACGTCTGGCGCCGCGTGCGCGTGCCGGCCGGCGTGAGGGCGCGCTTTACGGCAGAGTGGCAGCGGAGCACAGAAATAGCGTCATGGGATGGTTGGGATTGGAAGGGACCTTAAAAGATCATCTCCTTCCACCCCCTGCCATGGGCAGCGACACCTTCCACTGTCCCAAGGTGCTCCAAGCCCCGTCCAACAAAGCCTCGAACACTTACAGGAATGGGGCAGCCACAGCTTCTCTGGGTGCCGTGTCAGGGCCTCACCAACCTCACCGGGGAAAACGTTCTTCCTAATGATGTTGTTCATAAGGACATTCACAGAATCTTTAGGGTTCTTTGTGCCCTCTGGAGATCACCCAGTCGAAACCCCTGTCAAGGCAGGGTCACCTGGAGCAGGTGACACAGGAAGGTCCAGGTAGGTTTGGAATTTTTCCAGAGAGGGAGACTCCCATGCCCTCCCGAGACAAGTAGGTCCCAGACGTCTGCCACACTCATGTCAAGGAGTTTTGCTCATGTTGAGGTAAAATTTATCGTGGTTTTGTTCTTGGTCATTACTCTTTATCCTGTCATAGGGCACCACTGAAGAGAGTCTAGCACTACCCTACTGGCACCCGCTGGAGGTACTTCTATGAGATCTCCTCTTAAGTCTTCTCCACACGAACCAGGCGCACGACCCGCAGTCTCTCCTCACGAGAGAGCTGACCCAATCCCCTCCACCCTCGCTATTCCCCGCTGGATCCTCTCTAGCGGCTCCTTCTCTTACCATCGCGGGGTACGGGGGCTGCCGGGGCGGGGCTTTGCGGCAGCGGGTGGCACTTTACGGCGGTGTGGCGCTTTGCGTCGGTGTGGCGCGGGTGCCGCTTTACGGCGGTGTGGCGGCCCCGCGCTGACAGGTGCGGCGGGCGGGAAGTTGCTGACTAAGGCGGGCCGGGCCGGGCGGGGACCGGCGGGAGCGGCGGCACCGGCGGCGGCTGCGAGGGGCTCCCGAGCGGCTCATGGGGACGGCGGCGAGCCACAGCAGCGAGGAGGAGGAGGAGGGTGCCGAAGAGGGCATGGAGGGGGCGGCCGGCGCGCCCCAACCCGGCGCGGCCGCGCCGGCGCTGCCGCCGGCCGAGGTGCTGCTGGAGCAGGCCCGGCTGCGGGAGGCCACGGCGCGGCTGCGGGAGGCGGCCCTGCCCGAGCCGCTCGTGTCGCGGCACCACAGCGCGCTGGTGCGATGGCTGGAGGAGCGGCTGAGCCGCGGCGACGAGGCCGTGAGCCTGGAGCAGTTCTGCGAGGTGCTGGAGAGTGTGTCCCGGCTGGCGGCCGGCTCCCGCGGGGAGAGCGAGGAGGTGAGAGCCGGCAGGAAGCGCTGTCCGCAGGGATCGTGGAATAGCTCGGGCAGGGAGGAACCTTGCAGACCAGCTCCTTCCGCCTCCTGCCACCGGCAGGGACACCTTCCAGTAGACCGGGTTGCTCAGAGAGCCGTCCAACATGGCCTTGGACACTTGCAGGGATGGGGGCTCCCTCCAGGGATCCGCCTGTCCGGGCCAGGGTGTGGTCGGCATCGGGGGAAGGGAGGCCGGGGAGCCTCCGCGTGGTGCTGCTGGGGCTCGATCTCCCCGAGCCCTCGGTGTGGGCGCTGGCACCGGGTCCGTGCCATCCACACGACCCTGGAGACCCCGGGCACGCGTCTTGGCACATGGGGAGAGGCCAGGCCAGAAGGTTCTGCACAAGTTTGGAAAAGCAGCTGCTGCTGTTGATATACAGCCTGTCAGCTTCCAGATATCCCTTATAAAAAAAACTTATGTCAGTTATCAGTGATCATGCTCAGCAGCCATTTAAGAATAAAATGGGCATTTAAAGCAATATTTCTGCTGTTGCTACTGCTGGTGCAGCTGAGAGCACAGGTGTGGTGGGAACAGAGGTAGGAAATCCTGCCTGAGTAATTCTGCGTGATACTTAGTAGTGTTATCAGCAAGTCAAAGTTTACCACGCTTAATTTTATTGTAGCCTTTTAAAACCAGCAGTGAAATTGTCAAGTATCTCTTTTATTGTAAACTAGGACTTATGGAAAACTTGTAAGAAAGTAGTGTAACAGAGCTCTCCTTCCACAGCCAGAAGGTGTTATGGTCAGCTTTTAATGGTAGAAGAGAGCAGTCTTCTTTCTGTTGAGATTTCCAGTTTTCCCCTTCTGTGGGAAAGGACATGGAGAATTTAATGTCTAAGAACACTTAAGCTTTAGCTTTACTCTGTAGCAATCCAAAATGCAGCAGAATAGCCTGTTGAGAATTCCACACTCACTTGAGAAAGTGGCCGTGTCTGAATTCCTTAGTGCAAGCAGTTCCTGAGGCTCAGCAGTCACTTCCTGCTGTCTTTGTTTTGCTCCCGAGTAGCAGAATAACTGTGTAAACTGTTAAATCACGCACACACGCCTCAAATCAGTGCTGACAGGTGAACAAGGCTCATGGAAACTGGAAGGAGATTCATTTTCATGTAGAGATAGGTGTGTTTTTACCAGACTGGTTTAAGTAGCTTGGTAAAATGCTGCCTTCACTTCCAATTCCTTTACAAGAAGAGCCAGTAACAAACACATCTTCATTTGTAGCAACAGCAAGGGTGAAATCAGTCCATCGGGGTTCTTCCTGTTGGCACAAACAGTTGAGCTTTGTGGGCTGCTGAAATATTTTGAGGATTGTCTGTATTTCACGTCCTCCTCTGCATGAAGAATCTATTTGTTTTGGTTTAATTTCCTGCTCTAGGGAGTGGGGAAAAAGCTAGTCACAGGATTTACCATGGTGCGGATATGTGGTCACATTTGGTCTGTCTTGCAAAGTCGAGATGTTGAGAGTTCTGTGGAAAAGCTTGATGTCATCGTTTCTGTAGCTGGCTCTAACCCATGGGCTGTGGTATTTGAGCTTTCCTTTTACACTGATGAGGAGTCAGTTTAGGCGTGGCAGGTCAATAGGTTTCACTTTTTAATGTCTACAGAGTCCTGTCAGGCACAGCCCAAGTTTGATGTGCCCGTTCAGTTGTTTCTCTCAGTGCAGGGCTTTGAGCACAGACTTCACATGTTTTATGAACAATATTTAAATGCAGAATCTGTTTTCAATATAAACTGAAACTCTGAATCCTTCTTAGTACTGCTTCAGCAGCTGTCATGTCATGTGTCCAGCAACATTAATGCTGCAGTTCTAGTGAGAGCAGAGGATAAAATATGAAGTTCTCCCAAATCACCTTTCAGATACCTTGTTGTGCCATCCAGCTCCTGAGCTGTGAGATGAGGGGCTGATTTTTCCGTGTGCTGTATTTCCAAGCAACTCTCTCACTCATCATTTCCTGTGAAAGATGCTTCTCACATGCTTCATCATGTTCAGGGTAGAACTGTGTGGAGTCGCTGCTTTTATTTAGGAGTAGAATGAGCTGAGTTGTGTAAGGCTGCTGCTGAATTGTGTCATTTCCCAGTCCTGCTTAAAACTCAAAAATTCTCTGAGTACAGGTTGACACGCTCATTTTTTTCCCCCACTTTTTTTTTTCTTTTCCCCCATGACACAGGACAGCAGTGGAAATTGTGTATGTTTTTTGTCAAATACAGTTTGTATGGTTTTTGTCAAATACAGTTTAAGTTATACTGAATGGTCAAAAAATAATTTTAGAGTTCTAGATTTGGTGCAATCTCCTGAGATCATAGGGAGAGTTTAAAAATAAAATAACAAAATACTGCATTAAGATGTGAAGAAAAGCATATAAGTAGTAATCCCTTGTTATATATACCTCATGAGAGTATGAAAAAATCAGTTTAAAGTAGTTGTCAGCAGATTCAACCTTGTTGCCTTGTGTTTTATTGTCACCAGTAACATCACAAAACTTGTTCATTTTGTAGTTTTTAGTAATTGTGCAGTTTGACTTCAAATATGAGGGAAAGTGGTGAGTAAGTATGGTGTGGTGTGAAACTGCATTGAATTCTTTTGGCAACTGAGTTATGTCTGTTAGAATTAATTCCCTCTGGCTTGTCCTCAAGCAAAGGTGTTGGTTTTTTGTTTTGAGATCTGCCCAGTGCCTGGGCTGGACTGGCTGTGGTGCCTGCTGGATGCTCAGCACATTTGCTGCTCAAAGTAATTTTTTTAAAGATGATCATTATTAGCTTGGGTTCAGCTGTGTGTATAATAAGACTTTATAAAGCTCCCAAACTAAAATCCATCTCTGTGCCACTGAAGTGCCATGAGAGCTTTAGTCAGCTCAAACACTGTGTATCAATTCTGTTGTCTTCTGAGGACTTTGCTCTCATTTTAATGGTGTAATTATGTCATGGTTAATTGGCAGGTTATTTTGAGCTAATCATTTCAGGTTACTACTCTCTAGGATAGCACTGTTAATGGTACATCAAGTCTGATAATCAGGCAGCAAACCAAGACATTGAAGCAGGAGCTTGACTCAGACACCTGTGAGCTCATCTGTTCTTAGAGACCAGATTTACAGGGCAGTGAGACTCAAGTCTTCCTTGTAAAGAAATACCTTTTTAAAGTGTATTCCCAGTTTATATGAAAAAGGTGGATGCTCTTGAAATACTGCATTTCTCTTTTGGAACAAAATCCATTTTTAGCAATTAAACAGAAGTTTGCTTCAAAATTAAATCTGATTATGAAAATATAGCCAGATTTTTAATAGTAGTGTGTCACCAGATCATGAGTTCTCTGAAATAGCTAGTTAAAGTAAATTACATTTATGAGCTTAGTTCTATTTTATAGGCTCAGCTGAATAAAAATACCTTGTATGTCTGTTAGTTCACAGCTGTGAACTGCTGTGTGAGTTACTTCTTGTACATGCTCAACACAACTTTTTATATTAAAATTTTTATTAAGGTCAAAGTCAATAAAGCTGCCAGTGGTTCTCTTCAATAAAAAAATCCCAACCCTTTTCTAACTCTCTTCACTCTTTTCACAAATACTTAGATAAACTATATTAAACTGATATTTTGTGTAGGAAGACAGTTTTTATGGAAGGAAAAATCAAATGAAAAAATATTACTGTTCTTAGGACAATTTCTTAAATAAAGAAAATGTGTAAACCCCGAAGGAATTTGAGTGGATGCTGTGAGAAAGGGATGCAGCAGTGATGAGTAATTGAAGGTGTGGCTTTTGGAGCCAAAGCACCCTGAGGGGCTTTTTGGTGAGCACCTTCCTTAAAGTCCCAATTCCCATGGATGGATCCTGCTGATTCACTGGTGTATATGATGGGCTGCCTCCACCTAAGCATGACTCCAGCTGCCTTTTATGGGAATGCAGTGCAAATACCTTCAAACTTGCTAAACATTGCAGATTTGCAGCCAGGCTGCTTCTGGTTACCGTGAATTCAGTACTTGGGGAAATGGATTCTTTTGATTTTTGTTTTAATAGTGTTACAATGCTTGTTGCTATGGTTTCGATGAAATACCTTGCTTTAAGGAAATCTGCTGAAATAATTTTTTTTTTTTTGTTACTCTTCAGGCCTTTGCACAGTTTGATGCTGAAGGAGATGGCACTGTGGATGTGGAGAATATGCTGGAGACTCTCAAGAATTCTAGTGGAGCAAATCTTCAGGGAGAGCTGAGCCATGTAATCAGGCAACTGCAAGCTTGTTCACTGGTGCCAGGTATGAGAGTGTTGGAAGAAAGGGTTTCCCAAGCTCTGCCCCACAGAAGGGCTGCTTCAATAAATTGCTTTAATAGCATTGCTTGTCCTAATCTTATCAAAACCATCCTCCAGAGGTTCTTGGTTCTTTAGTGTCAAGCAAGTGGAGCTGCTGTAAATTAAACATTTCCCAGAATTACATGCAGAACTTCCTTTCATAAATAAGCACTGTTTCCTTCTCTGTGTGACTGGGGAGTATCTATCCCCTGTTTGGTTTATCTCACAGACAGAAAAGTGTACCTTGCAGAATCTGGTGAGTGCCCAGCTAATGCAGTCTTATACTTGGTAACTGGAGGAATAAATCCTCCTTGGAGTCTGTTCCAGGGGATGAGTCACATATTTTATTATTATTATTATATTGTTATTCAGCATTTGAAATCCTGATAGAGCATAATTCAGGTTTTATGGTTTATAGTTCAGAAAGTGTCAGTTTCCAGAATTTGATTTCTGAGATAAGTGTCAGTTACTGGCTTTCCTTCCAAGCATTTGATAATAAGTGGCTAAAGGGGATTTGTCTTAAAGGATCAGACAAGAAACACTGGAGAGAAATCAGAGGAGAGGACTTAGAAAGGGCTGTTCTGTGCATGTAACTGCACTGGGATTCAGAGTACCAGTGTTCAGGAGCTGACATTTCTGCCCAAGTTGGTGGAAAGCTTTGGGCCCCTCTTTGGGAATAATCCACAGTGCCAAAGGGGGAAGCTCAGTGTGGCTCAGGGTGAGTGATGCAAGCACCTGAACTTGTTAACCAAGCAGCAACTGCTTCACTTAGATTTTGAAGGTAAGGGTTTGGGGCAGCAATATAAACATAAGATTCTTGGTAATTGCTTTGAACTCCTTCAGGCATTCAAGTCACTGGCAAAAATATTTTCCTGCACTTTTCCCTGCTGTAGAGGTTGCAGACTTGAGCTGCATTCTCTAATAGTTTTACATCCTTCTTGCATTGTGGTGCCTGAGGGAATGATATCTCTTTCCAGGGTTTATTGATATATTTTCTGAATCGAAAGAGCGCCTGGGCCTTCACGCCTCGATGATCCTGAGGTTCCTGCACAGGAACCGCATTTCCAGCACGGCCATCCCGTACCCAGCGCTGGAGTACTTCAACAACATCTGCACCATGCGCTCGTCCGTGCTCAAGGATTCTCTGGATCGACTTCTCCTAAAAGAGAGAGGTAAGCAATGGCTTCCCTTCTTTTTCAGGATGCTGCTGTGACCATGGCTTTGAAAACCAGACCACAGATAAAATGAAAAGCTTTCTTTACTGTGTCACCTCTAACAGGCCTCGTGTTTTATGAAGTTGATCTGCATGCTTCTGTGGATTTTTGTTGGTTTTTTGAAGCACATAAATTAATTTCTGAACCAGCAATCTGAGTAACACTCTGGAATGTTCTTATCTTTCTCCTGGCCTGCTTCAGAATCAGTGGTTACTCATTTGTGATATTCTGTATTCAGTCAAATATCTCTGCTAGTTGCTAGAAACTTAGTTTGCATGTGAAAGTAGATGTTTTCTGAAGGTGACTATTCAATATTAAGAGATACTTTGAACTGGAGGTGATGAAGCTTTTACTGTACCTCTGATGGGATTGGCCTGGTTCCTACAGGGAGGGGCTCCTTTTCTTTACAGCTTGACTAGATATTTTCAAATGTCTGCACTTCTGTTGAAGTAGATCAAGTTACACGGGAAAGAGAGTGTTTTGTCCCTTCCCTAAAATACACGAGGTTTTCTCCATCATAATTTATTTTTCCCTTTCATCTGTTTGTATTTGGGCACAAAAATAATAAAGCACTGGTGAGGCCAGTAATGAAAGGGGTAGATAAAGGCTATTGAACTCCAGAGAATGGAGGTGTTTTCATACTGAGAGTATGGAGATTATAATGGAGATTATTGCAATTTCATCTGAAATGAAACTTTGCTGTCTCCTAGTTCCTGTCAGAAACAATCCTTTGGGGGCTGTGTTTTGTGCCAACAAGTTAATTTGTGTGAGATAGTTCTTACAAAGGTACATCAATACTCGAAACAGGCCAAAGAAAAATATTCTGAGTGATTTCTTTGCAGAATACCCCAGTGATCTGAATGGTAATGAGGAGTCAGACAAGCTGAAGTCTGTCACAAAGTGCTACACACACATTGAAACCTCCTCCAATTCCGCTGATATCGACAAGATGACAAACGGAGAAACTTCCTCCTTCTGGCAGTCGGACGGGAGCGCTCGGTCCCACTGGATACGGTGAGCTGAGGGCGGGGCTCTGAGTCCTCAGCTTGACAGCACTGGGGTGCTGTGCTGGATTGGTCCTGGCTGGATGCCAGCTGCCCCCAAGGCTGCTCCATGACTCCTCACCTGGGCAGGGGAGAGAAAATGTAACAAAAGGCTCTTGGGTCAGGGGCAGGGAGAGCTCTCTCACCAACTGCCATCACTGACAAAGCACACTCGATTCAGGGAATTTAGTTCAGTTTATTAAATCAGGGTGGGGTTAGGAGAAACAAAACCACATCTTCCCCTCCTTCTTCCCAGGCTTAGAGAAAAACGGAAGAGCAGTTCTCTCCTCCCCTGCAGAGGCACAGGGGGATGGGGAATGTGGGCTGCTGTCAGTTCATCACATGCTGGCTCTGCCCCTCCTTCCTCCTCGGGGGCAGGACTCCTCACACCCTTCCCCTGCACCAGCGTGGGGTCCCTTCCATGGGACACAATCCCCCTCAGAGTGCTCCAGTGTGGGTCCTTCCCATGGGGTGCAGTTACAGAATCACAGAATATTGAGTTGGAAGGGACCCCTAAGGATTGTCTAGTCCAGATCTTAAGTGAATGGCCCCTATGGGGATCAGTCCTTCAGGAAGAGGCTGCTCCAGCACGGGTCCCCCATGGGATCACAGATTCTGCCAGCAAACCTCCAGTGCATGCTGCTTTCCCCATGGGGACACAGGTCCAGCCTCCAGTAACTTCACACCCTGTAGCCCCCCACTGCTAAAACCTTGTCACACAAACCCAATACAGGTCTAATTGAAAACAGCTGGAATTAATGAGTGACAGATGACTACAGATAAAAGCAGAAATTATTAATCTCTGCATAAAATTTAAAACCCTGATTGCCAAGTAAAAGGTCACCTGTAAAATGCCTGTATCTGCCTGTGGTGACACAGCCTCGTTGTATAGTGAAGCTTTCCAAACTGTAATACAGATTCAGTGGTTGGTACTTGAATAGAAACACTTTGCCACTGTCCTGGAAGTTCCATGAAACAGAAGTGCTCGATGAAACACAAGTGTTTAGTTGTTTTACTCAGTGGTAGATCTGAAAATGTGTGCTTCAAAGAAAAATAAGTCTCATTTTGGTCATTATTGACATTGCGTTTTTATTCCTGAGGAAGGAATTCACAGTGGAAAATATAAATAGGAAATTCTAGAGTCTCTCAGAAGCAACTGTTTTCTAAATCAAAAATTTTTAACTTGTTCATCATGGTATGGTGTTAAGAGCACCTGTGAAGCATTAGGTAAATTTCAGAGGATTAATTTTGTTATAGAAGAGGAAAATCAGTACATATATATAATACTATGATATATAATAATAAAAGCACAATCCTTGATATATTTTCTCTTTGCAAGAACTGTTTTCTCTTTACTTTACAGTTTAAAGATGAAACCAGATGTGGTTTTGAGACACCTGTCCATTGCAGTGGCAGCTAATGACCAGAGTTACATGCCACAGCAGGTCACAGTGGCAGTGGGAAGGAATGCCAGCAGTCTCCAGGAGGTCCGAGATGTTCACATTCCAAGCAATATCACTGGCTACGTAACACTGTTGGAAAACGCTAACATTAGTCAGATGTGTGAGTCAATAAAGATACCATTGGGATTCCGGTTTGGTGCTTTTTTGGAAGGTGAAAGGTTGGGTAGATCATGGAGAGATGTGTTGAAGTGTCACTTTGGGCTTTGTCCTTGGGTCAGAGAAATTGCTTTAATTCTAGTTTAATTTCTAGCCTGTAAGAGAGTCTTCTGAGCCTCTCTTGTGGTCTCTCTCATTTTTCTCTGAAGAGAAAAATGACTAAAGATGCAGTTTTAGCCTTTCCATGTGAAGACATGGGGCAGTTTTAAAATATCCTTGCTTGCAGAGTGAAAGCATATGTCAGCTGGTAGTATCTAGCTAAAAATCTGCTGTTTTTTTGGTACTGAACCTCTGAAGTTGGTCCAACGTAAGGCAGGTTTTATGCTTTTAAACAGTGTTATTTTTGATTCTAGTAGCTCTGTGGGTGCTATATTGGAATCAATCAAGAAAAGCTGCTCCGTCCTAAGATGGTTTCTGCAGCTTCAGGAATTTTGTCCCTTCAGTTCCAAAAGATGCTTTTCCTTGAGAGGAGCTTTCACTGCCACAGAAGTGGGCAGCAAGGATGTTATTCCTCAAAAGTAATCAGGACAGTGCCATCTGTGCAAAATGATCAAGAACTAGTGTGAAAATTTGTATGTAACTTTAAATTTTGCCTTTGCTCCTTTTCCCTATTATCTCCACAACCACTTGCATCCAAGACATTTCCTATACATGTAGGTAGGAAAGTACTGGTGAAATAATCTACAATCTATTTTCCACTTAGAGGATGTTTTAATACAATTTTTCCTAGTTTCTAGCCACAGCATCTGTAATGGATCCACAGGCTATTTATGCAAAGGCTAAATTATCCAGATCAGAGGGTGCACAGAGTGTCTGGTTATCCATATCAGGCAGTTCTGTTCCATATCTGCCATTACTTTTCCAAGAGATCCTGCACTAATTTAATGTTTGGAATATCTAGATTCTTCTAGCTCTAATCTAGCAGAAGAAATGGGGAAAAAAAAAAAATTCTATTTTGTGTTTTGACAGATGTACAGATAAACATCAAGCGTTGCCTTAGTGATGGATGTGACACCAGGATCCACGGGCTGCGGGCTGTGGGCTACCAGAGAGTGAGGAAGGTGGGAGTGTCCGTGTGCGACGCCTCGGCCATCTGGTACTGGTCCCTGCTGACCTCTCTGGTGACAGCTTCCATGGAAACAAACCCAGCATTTGTTCACACCATTTTACAGAATACTCAGTGAGTACCAAACTTACGTGGGGTGTGATTTTTATCTACTTCTTAAGTTAAAAAAAAAAATAATAAAAATACTTCTGGCTTTAGTAAGCAATCTGCCATATGTAACTGGTTTCTACTCTCTCCATTAAGGTGTTTGAACATCTTTTTCTGTCTCATTGTTCAGATTTTTGATGTTTTTCTTCTGTTCATTTGTATGTACTAGAACAAGTGTAATTCTCCTGGCTGTTTAATCTAATCTAGTTGTTAAACCATGGCTGAATGGACACTGAGAAGTAGATTTTTCACCGATCCATTTACTTGTAATGATTTTGAACGGCCTAAAATTAATTCATTTTTCTTGTCCACTATTAATAATCAATAAAATTAACATCTTCCCCTTAGGACTGGAGCTTAATTTAGCTTAATTTTCAGTAGATTTCTGCTTATGTAATGCTTTGTCATGCATTTTATGGAGATATAGTTGAGTATATGCACCATCTCCATGCAAATGTTTGCTTGTGGTGATTGGCCATTTTCTGTGTAATGTTTCCTTGTTTGATTGCCAAACAATTCTGCTCGATGACTTGAAGGATTGGAATCCTAATAAAACCTCTCCACACCCACATCAGCTTTTACAGAGCTCAGTTAGCACGATGTCACTGAAAAGCAGGGCTGTCATTAGGTTAATGAATCCTGTAGGCTAAAGTCCACTAAGCTTGTCTTTTAATTTATCATCTGTGAAATCTCTTTAAAGTTTAGGTAACTTCATGCTACACGCTCATTCCTTAGACAGGCCCATAGTTGCAGGCTTTGCTGAAACTGAGGGCCTTCAGTTTTGGTAAAGTTTAAATATTTTTTAGAAATATAACATGAACACTGAGCTAATAAAGCTCTTAATTAAAAAATTATAATGGAGAAGTCCTAACTAAAATAATGCTTTCAGGAATTAGATTCAGTGTTTAGAATTATAAAGCAGAAACTCCATACTTTAGAACTGGATGAATAACTGTAATACTGAATGGGAAAACTTTAGTATTGGATGGAATAACTTTGATGAAACTGCTTAAGAATTCCTAATTTCAGGGGTTATCACATTATTTTTGGAAATTCAGAAAAATTTTGATGTGTGCTAACAAGTGTCTCTCTTAGTTTGTTTGATTCTCTGAGGGAATTTAAAATCTATTTTCCCTTTATTCACAGTCTCTTGCTCAGTTCTAGACCAATTTAAAATGAAGCAGTTCTTGGACACTAAGCTATTTCTAATGCTGTCACAGATTTAATTTAAATTGATATGTTTGTCTCCTTAAATCTGAGATTGAGACTAGATTCGAGGTTACCTAGCAGTCATTGAACTTTCCCTGCCAAGAATGCAATACTGTTGTTCCCTTTTGAAGAGATTCTGTGTAAATAGATTTTGTGCACTCAGAAGCAATTTGCAGAGACCTGCCCACACAAAGCATGAAGATTCAAGCATCTAATTCACATTAGGAGGTTCTTTTCTCCAATTCTGCCTGGTTTCCTGACATTATGTTTCACCTTTTCCTAGGAAAGCACTGCAGCACATGCCACCTCTCTCCCTAACACCAGGCTCCACAGATTTTTCAAGCTTCTTGTCACCAAATGTTTTGGAAGAAGTAGATAGCTTCCTTATCAGAATAACAAGGTGAGCTTGTGTGGTTGATGCAGTGGGAAGTGGTTTAGAAGAGTCTGTAAATCAAATTTTTACATCTTTGCTCACATGCTCTTTTTTAAGTGTATTGAAAAATGCAGGTGCATGAAGAAACAGGCACCTGAGAGATTCTGTGGCAGCTTGTCTTTATTGAATAAAAGATGTCCCAAATTTGCTTTTCACACTGTCGTTATCTTCTCTCACAGTTGTTGTACTACTCCAGAGGTGGAGCTGACACTCCTGGCCTTTGCCTTAGCCCGAGGGAGTGTTGCCAAAGTGCTGAGTTCCCTTTGTGCCATCACTGATCATTTGGACACTCCATACAAGGCTTCCTCACTGATCTCTTCCATGGCAGCAGTCAGGCAGAACCTGCTCTATAAATACGGTAATGGAGCAATCCTGAGCCCTTTCTTGTACAGGCTTAAAAAAATACACAGCTTTGAGTTGTTCCACTTGTTGGGTTTTAAAATTATTCAAATCTTCTTAATTAAAAACTGTCGCTGAAATCACAAAACCTAGCAGCTGAACTGCCCAAAAAGCTGGTGATTGGTCAGCTTTCTGTTATCAAAGAGTTAAACCAAGTAGGATCTTCTCAAGAGAGAAAGCATGAACTTTGTAGGTCATGTCCCCTGTATCAGGAGAGTGATGATGGTGTTTGTGTTGCTTAAAAGGCAAATGACAGGAAGCATTTTTCTTCTTCCAGTAAGACATTTGTGTGAGTGAGCCTCAGTGAGTGCTCTCTCCTGCAGGCACATGGAATTTAAGATGCATTTAAATGTAATGTCATTAGCATCTCTTTGTGGTTCTTTTTTTTTTTTTCCCCTTTTAGAAGATGAGTTAAAATTAAGTTTTTATAATCTGAGTATGCCATGAGTGTGGAGCTGTTCATGGTCTGGCATCAGGTGGTGATTTTGCTGTATTTGTTTGATAAATCTGCATTTTCTCAGGTATCAACTTCTGAGATTCTCATTAGTCTCCCATGAAGAATTTTACCCTTTATTTGCCTTTTAGCATGTTTTTGCAGTACTTCTTGTCTTGTGCCAAAGAACACATGGATTATTTTATAATTATTGATGTTTACTTTAGAAAAATTTGAAAATGGGTTCATTTTCCCCAGAGTAGCTAATGCCTTTTGTAAGACAAGTGGTATTTAATGGATTGTGAATTCCAAAGTGTGGCAACAGTTGAAGGAATGTTAATTGTCATTAATTTCATTGTGCTTCTGTCTGCATCTAGAACTGTAACTACTTTAGATTAATGTATCTCTCATACTCCACTTTCCCTGACAATGGTAAAAATCTCATAATATTGTAATTTGTTTCCTTTTTTTTTTTTATTTTCTGAACGAAGAACTTTGGAAAATATATTTTACCATTTCCAATGAATTTGATAAACCTGTTGATTTTTTGACTTAGGAAAGCCTTTACGGCTCACTCTGCAAGCATGTGATGTAAAGGGAAAAGAAGATAAATCAGGGCCTGAAAACCTCCTTGTAGAGCCATGGACTGGGGATGGTAAGAGTCTGGACTTAAAATCCATAAAATTGGAATAAAATCATTGAAGTAGGTGATTCCACCAAACATAATGGTTGTTAACAATGCTGTGATGATGTTCCATATTTGCTTACATATATTTGATTCTTCGTAGTTTTATGCTATGGAAAATTTGGAATTTAAAAAAAAAGATAAACTAACAAACAAAAACTGAAAACCAAAACAATATGTAAATTTGATTTTGCAGCACTGTGAATTTCTCATTATCCAATTTATTGTCAAAACAAGCCAACCAAGCAAAAAGATTGGATTTTGGAGAGAGTTACTAATATTCTACATGGAAGTCAGCAGTGAGCTGTCCCAGGGAATATTCTACCAGAGCACACTTTGTGGGTTGAAGTCATGAATCACTGTTAGTTTCCCAAATATTGATGGGGAGAGAGTTTATAAAAATCATTTCAGTTATCACAGCACATGCCTATTAGTTCTCCCTTGAAGCCTCTCTTTGTTAATGCAATGTTTTTATGTACTAAACAAAGAGATTTGTGTTTCTTGACCTCCTTTTAAGTGAAATGCCACCTAATCTTTTTTTTTTTTTTTTTTAATAGTTTATTGTCTTGTGTAGTGCTACTGGTAAATGAAAGCCATTGTGACAGAAAATCAGGCACATTCTAAATGCTTATTTTACACCTCTGTTTGTTCATGTGTATTATTTGAGTTTATTCTTCAGTTATTTTGTGGCTTGTCTGCTGTTGTTTTGTGGGTCACAGTTCAGGGGACTATTCACTGAGTTCAATGAGTAGAGGCACAAGCCAAAGTAATATTTGGGAATTACTAATAAACTTTAATAAGAAAATATTCTTGAAACTGCTGCAGATATTGCAGTGCTCAGAGAGATACTGCCTGGAGAGTTCTGTGTGAAATACAATTTTTTAAGTAGTCCCTTTTATTTGGAAGCATTTGCTAATGAGCATGTCACTGGAAAAGCCTTGTGGTTTTGTTTCCCCCTTCAGCCCACAATCCCAGTATTCTCTTTCAAACACCTTGCATTAGCACTCATGCAAACTCATTCTGTTCCCACTGCTGCTTTAGGTTTTCTGACTGAAACTGGGAGAACCAGAGCAAGTATCATTCTTTCTACTGGAACTGAATCTTCATTTCAAGTGACACAAATTAGAATAAAGGTAAGTGGTTGTTGAGAGCTTTTGAAGTAGAAGGCTTACTTTTTTCCCCTAGTGGTAGAATTGAATTTGGATATTTTTATATGAACTGAAATTTAAATTCATTATGAAATACTGTTATTTTAGAGGTTTTCTTCGGTGTAAGTCAGGAAACTTCAGAAAAATGAGGTCTTGAATTGTTCCAGGGAGCCACAAGCATGTAGTAAAGACATTTATTTTATATTGATTTTAAATGTATGTCTCAAGCCAGAGACTCTTTGGTTTATGGTTTCTCTCTGAAGTGTGTGGATTTATATGCAAATTTAAAATAACTTTTTGACTCTGTGAATAGCAGGTATCAAGATATAAAGCATGTGAGTTTAGATTAAATGAAGGTATTTCAAATTGTGTTTAGAGACACCAGTGTAATTTGAACATTTGGTGTGACTTACCTGGTTTCAAATGAAGGTCTTGTGATTAAATCTCATGGCCAAGACAAAACTTCAGTGAGGTTTCTGCAGCTGAATTGACTTATTTCCTTAAGGCAAATCAATGTTATAATTTAATTCCCAGAGCAACAATGCACATTTCTAAGTCAAAGAGATTTGAACATGCATGGGCTTCTGGTAAGTAAATTCTAACTGGAGATGGAGAGGCAGCTGAGTTGCTTTGCAGTGTAGTGATATTAATAGGGAAATGTGATTTTAGTTTTTATTTTTTTAAATGTAAAAAGAAAACAAAAGTACAATGAGAATTAATATGTTGAACTCTAGTTAATGTCAAGGTGCTGGCAGGGTGATAAATACAGTAAATAACAACCATGTACATGATCTCAATTCAGTGTGATACAGAAGTTTTCAGAACATTTCTCTAAATATATTTCATTTTCCTGTACAATTCCAGAGACCAGGATTGTCAGGATTTGGTTGCTTTCCATAGGTTCTTGTTTTCCTTATGCCTTGCTGTGGATTTCCCCCTCAGGTGCGCCGTGGTGCCATTGGGGCTCAGTGTGGGCTGGTGTTTGCCTACAATGGAGCCTCAGAAAAGTTCCATGCTGAGGAACACTTCAAAAGGTTTGAGAGCTATGACAAATGGAAGCTGAGGGAATTCAAACAGTTCTTAAAAACCAGGTATAAATGGATTTTTGCAGTGTGTAATAAATGTTATATTTGATCGTTTTGCCATGCCACTCAAACTACTGAGAATTGTTCCATTAAAAATGGTGCATCTTTCAATTTTTAGTAATTTAATTTTAATGAGCCTCAATTTCATGTGTTGAACAAAATATGTTTATTAGTGTTGTTTTTAGCCACTTGATTTAAAGGCCTGTTATAAAAGGGATATAGCAAAAAAACCCTTCTACTTGGGGTGCAGACCAATGATAACAGAAATCTTTAAATTAAGTTTTATTAAATCAGTTTTCAGAACTGTTGCTTATGAGTAAAGGGAAGTTAAGGGGCCATGACCAAAACGATTTTCTTGATTTTTCTTTTATCTTGCATGTGATAGTTTTGGGTTTGTGAAACTTTCTGTTGTCTTTCTTCATCTTTATAGCCATAACATCCCCTTTTTGGTAGAGTATCAACAGCTTTGCAACGTGTCTAAACTTTTTCTTGTGTGTTACATTCTTTTATACACAGAAGCAGTTATTCATGTGATGATTTGGGAGATGATGATCCTATTGGCTGGTTTGAAGTAGAAGAAGAATGGGATGAAGTTGATGTCAAAATGCAGCAATGTAGAGTTTCCCAAGTAAGAACCCACAAAAACCCCTTGGCCTAGTCACAATGAACAGGAACTCTTTTCTGTGCCAACTGAAATAAACCTAATTCTGTTTTGTGAGGGAAAATTCTGCTGTATAGAGGAAAAAATCAATAAGCTTCTAGTTAAATGAATTATTCAACTTTTGTCCTCTGAATTTTAGTCTTTTTCTCTGTATGCCCATACATTTATAGCTGTAGTTAAGTGGTGCTTCATGATCAAGTTTAATGCAAAGTTATGTGATAATGTGCAGATCACTGGTTTTAATATGGTTGTTGCTTTATTCTAGTATTTACACCATTTAACTGCTGTGTAATCATAGCATTTATTCTTTCAGAGCCAGATTCCTCAATCCATGTTTCAGTGGGCAAACACTTACAAAGTGTTTCCATCAGTTAGGCTGTGATCCCCAGGGACTGGAGACTCATTTTGAGAATGGCAGAAGATTGCTTTGATTTCTAGTGTTTGGTGCATTTGTAGGGAATGTTGCATTTCAGACCATGGTTCTGGAATCAGCTGTTGTAGTTCCCAGTCCATCTGCACTGTGGGAATTAAGAGAATTGGTGGCATTGTTGTGTCACCTGGGATTTTTTTTAACTCTGTTGCTGCTTGCTAAGTTACTGCTGCTGCAGAGTAACTGAGTACATGTGGATGGCAGGACTTGCTGTTCCTTCAGTTTTGCACTCTGCACCTCACTGAGAACAGACTGATCAAAGTATGTTCTAAATATTACATATTGATCCTCTGCTTGCTTTTAAATGCAGCTCAGAATTCTTTAACCTGAAAGAGTACTGTAACTGTGGCAACAAGGAGCAGTGTGTGCAGAAAGAATGAGCTGATAATGAATGAACAAACTTTGCAGATCCTGTAGAGGTCATAGAACCATCCCTGTGGCTTTTTGGAAGTAGAGAGAGATCAAACTTAGCCTGAATCTCCAACTTGTCACCGGCTGGGTTTTTGGGGTCCCTTTGGGATCCCTGAGGCTGCTCCTGCAGCCCTCAGTGACAGAGCACGTTCCCCAGCCTTGCCCAGATAGAATTTTGGCTCGTGGGGAGCTCTCAGACCAGCAGGGAAAAGAAACTGGGATATACAGAAAGGCACAAATCCATGGTTTATTCTATGAAGGCATCCTATCTACATATACCCACGGCTATTGTTTTACAGGGGCTTTTATATCTTTTGAGGGTTTTACAGTTTGCACCAATTACCAAGGGAATTCTACTTTCTAACCAATCCCTGAGGGATTTTACATTCAAAGCTGGCCTATGGATACGAAAAGAGAATGAACCACTAATATTGAAGATAGATAAGAGGGTCTGCCAAGGGGGGGAAAGCTAAATTCCTTTTTGTATTCATCATTTCACAAGCCATTTCTTATCTCTAAGCCATGGTTTTCCAAGGGGCTTGTTCTGAGGATACAGGGAGACTTTCTTCTTTTTGGATACTTTCTGCTCCCTCCACAATGGCTCAGTATTTGAAACCTCTGGAGGTGATGGACAAAGGATTCAGGCTTCCCCCTCAATCCTTACTTATGTGCTCTCATGCCTTTTAAAAGCCCAATTTATACCAGCTTTTAAACCCAAATCTTGTGCTGTTTTTTCGTCTGTCTAGTACTTGATGATAAAGTTCCTGTGCACCAGACAAGAGTCAGCAGAACGGCTCGGGGTGCAGGGGCTCAGTGTCCTGGGCTACCTGCGGCCCCTGCGGGATGAGCCCTGCAGGACCATGAGCTGCCTGCAGTGCAGGAAAACTGAGGATGACACAGTCTGTGGCACAACTCTGCTCCTCAAGACACTTCATTTCATCCAGCAGCTGGCACAGGACCTGGTATTTTTATTTCTTAGTGGTTTTTAAGCCTCTCTTTTCCAGGTTTAGAAGGAATAAGGCTGTGCAAACAGCAGTTGTGAATGGGAAAGAAAAGTCGGGGTACTTTTAACAAAGGTTAAAAAGCATGTTATGGAAAAAAGAATATTTCTGAAAAATATAATTCTGTGTATGTTAGCTGAAGGTTTATTACTTATAATTAAATTAGATGGAGAGGTAGAGGTTATAAATTCTTCTGGTGGTAGAGAAAAGAGATGGGATCCTAGAAATCCAGAAAGAGGGGAGGATTATATGAATAAGAAGGTTTCAGCATGAACTGTCACATTTAGACACCAGAATATCCATGAAAGAACTTAAAGCTGGAATTCATGTTAGCTGCAAATTTATAGGAAAGCTAGCTCTGCTTTCCTTTAAGCCAGTGCTCAGGGATTTATATTTTACAAATGTGTTCTATGTAGAGTTAAATTTCCAATCTTGCATTTTTCTTTGTCTTTTTAAGGTTCAGCAGAAGGAGAGTGGATTAAAATACAAGTCATTTTTAGATTTCACAGGCCTTGATTTGCAGCTGTTCTGGAATTTTTACAATAAACTGCACCAAAAGTAAGTTTCTTCCTTAGTCTCTGCTGAAGCACTAATCAGTATATGTGTGTATAAATAAAATATGCTTTGTTTAGTTACAGCAATTTGTTCTTAAACTACATCATTTACATAAATAACATTTCCCTACTGCTGCCATATGGACTTTTAACTATAAAGTTATGTAAAAGCTCGAGCTGTAGATTAATTGAGCTCATAGCTACACTTCCTTTGGCTATGTCTCTCCACTCAGTGGTTTTTATCTGTCTGAAATGGTGGCTTTCATAGCAATATTTATTTGTGCAAAAGAGCTTTTCCTAGTTTTTGTTTCTATTTGTTGTATATCTTCTTACAGGCCGAGGGAAGAATGTATCTTTGCTCAAACACTGCTGTTGCAGCTTCTCCAGAGCTGCTTCTTTGTATTTACTGGAGATAATAAAACTGCTAAACCTCAAGAAACTCCTCAGAGCAAAACAGCTGGTCACACAGAAGCTGCAGAAGAGCTTTATAGACATTTGTGTGAAGGTAATTTTTATTCAATATATATTGACTGTTTTGTCTATTAAAGTTTGGGAAAATAGATTCATTCCTAGAGGTCAAGTCAGCTCCTGCTCCTTCGTTTCTCCTTCAGGTCATTGTGTGCTAATTAGTTTATCACTAGAAACTTTCCTTGGCCCAAAGAAATGGTTTTGTAGACTTTCTGACAATGTGGTCTGGAAACAGCTGCAATAGAAAAGTCCTTTTGAACGTGTCACCTGCTTGTACCACCAGACCCTTTGACTGTAACATTCCTGGGGTTTATTTATTTCTGAGACTGCATATCAGGATAAATGAGCTCATGAGTAGACTGTGAAATGCACAGGAACACAGGGAAGATTCTGGAGCCAGTGAAGAGAATGGGAATTACACATGAGATTTCGCTGGAAGTAGGGTGGCACGCTCTCTATTCCAGGATAATTTGAAGAGTTTCCTGCAAAGAGAGCTAGAGGAAAAACACTTTATATAGAATCTGTCACATCTTGAAGATTTTATGAGCTTTGATGGGTGTCAAGTTACAATTTTCCTAGAATTCATTGACTTGGTGAATAGTTACATTCTTTCTTAATATAAATCTTTCTTGCTATAAGTGAAAAAGTTTCCCTTCATTTTCTGTGTGTATAACGGGTTTGCAAGGGCTTGAAGTTGTGTAGATTAACATTTAATTCAGTTATGCCTCTAACATATTAGATGGGCTATTAATTAGAACTTGTAATTTTGTTTCCTTTTTGTATGAGCAGTAGTGGATATGGGGGACAGTAACTCCATGCCAATGAAAATGCTGAAAGAGGAAGTTAAGAACACCTTACTCAGTGGAGCAGCAGTTTTTTTCCCAGATAGACAGACCAGGCGACACCAGCTCTTCACCATGATGGTAAACATTGAATGAGAAATTGTTTGTTTAGTGCCTGCTTTCTTTATGCAGAAAAGAGGACAAATCTGAGTTGTTGTTCTCAAATAATATATACTTTGTTCCATTCGAGTAAAATCCTTACTTTTTTTCTTTGCCTCTTTTTACCCTTCCCCTTTTCTTTCTGCAGCTTATCCAAAGAAAGAGGAGCTAACCCTGCCTTTCTTACCAAAAATGAATAATAGAACACAGAATTTAGAATTCTTTGTCACAGAGGAGGAAAACAGAATGTATCATAAAAATAAATCTTTTTCCTTTTCTAGAAAAACATCACAGAGCAAGAGCATAAGCAATCTCTACATCTTGCCTTCAGATCCTTGTGTACCCACTTCAGGTGAGCAGTCCTGAAATTGGAAATATTTGTCTGATACCCCACATTTGTTAAAGAGTTTATACTTAATCCTTTTTAGAAACGTTACTCCCCTGAACAATAATTCTCTGAAGCAATCAACTAATGTTGATTACTCAATATTTTTGTTAACTGAATAGCTCTATAAAACACTGGCCAAGGTTGGTGCTGAAATCACAGTATATTGCTCTTAGGCTTCTCCTAGGCTGTCTTCCAAATTTTAAAGTAATTGTTTGTCAGTGCTGGTGGTTGGTATTGATTTAATTAGTCTGGAGCAATCAGAACACAAACTTTTGATTTTCATTGTAATTGTACAATAGGATCTGTACAGATTTGACACAAAATTTCTGTTTTGGAATTGTTTGGAATTCCTTGTTGTTGCTTAGTAAGAATATCTTTGTTTTGTAGTGATCAAGATCCAGGTGGACTCTTATTATTACCAGAGAAAGGAGTTACTGCAAATTTTGACATAAGTGAAGTATTATCAGTCATGGACACCCTTCTGCTTGTGGCAGCAAGAGAGGTAACTGGCTTTGCTCCTGCTTCTTTGTCATGAGTTTTGTGGGCTCTCAAACACAAACTGCCTCTCTGCCCTTCTGGTTACAACTGCTCATGGCTGTGCAAGTCAGTAGGATTAGCTTTTCCAACCAGTTGAGTGTTTTCCTTTAAGCATTAACATTTCATAATAGTAGAGGAGGAAACGAATAATATTTTTCTAGTATGGAATATGTAAGATGTGGTGTTTTTCCATAGCATTGAAAAGACTCTATGGAGAAACATTGGGATACAGAAGGAATCATTCCATTTTAAGAGGATAGGATTGGGCATGTCACTAAGGGAGGTGGAAATAGAGGAGAGTTATTTACATATGCAGAGAAACTGTGCTGAGAACATCGAGTGACTCATATGTAGCTGTTCCTATTTAAAATTGTGATATATCAAAACAAAATGCATCACTTGCTACATGGTGTTACATGCTGCTTGTCATTTGCATTTCATCTTTTTCTGGAGTGAGTGGGATGATGGTGTCCATCCCAGTTTACTTGGTGCATACTGTGTGTCATGCTGCAGCAGAAGAGCCTCCATTACATTCATGAATGTCCCTTATTTTTCAGTGTGAAATGATGATGCTGGATGTTGCACAGCAAGAGAGTGGCACAGTCTTGTCTTCCTTATTCTGGTCTGTTCAGGGCAGCCTCCTTTCCTGGTGCTATCTGCAGCTTAAAGGCACTGATAATTCAGCCAAGGATCTTGCAGTAGAAATACTTAAAAACTGTAAGTGCTGGGATTGAATACAGAATTAAATATTGTGCAATACAGGACTTTAAAATGTGATTTTGCAATTGCAGTATAATTAGGGGTCACCAGAGGTTGCCTGAGGCATACTCAGTACTGTCATAGCATTGTTAATCTTTCTAGGAAGTAATTAGTAGGCATATTAAGCAATTTGGAGTTTTAGCTGATAATCTTATCAGTACAGCTAATCTTACAGTTGGGAGAATCTTCAGAAAGCATTTCGGAAAGTTTTGAGGGCCAAATACTGAAAAAAAAATCCAAACAACGAATAGTTACAGGCTTTCATTTGAACATTTTAATTTCTTAGCATCCCTTACTTTGGTAAACTCCTGTGTGGTGATGTGTGTTTTCCTGGATGTTTGTAATAGCAAGAAGAAAGGAGCTTGGTTAAGAAGCTGGGTACATCTAAGGAGTTTTGTTGGGGTTTTTGTGGGGGGGATTATTAGTTTTTTTTTTAATGCAGCAGCTCAGAGTTGAGTTAATGGGGCCAAATAATTAACAAAGGTGTAATTTAATGTAAAATTACATCATATTTATGTTATTTATAGCTAAATAAATTTGCTGTCTTACATTTAAAATTGGCATAAGTCTGTAGCTAAAAATTCCTACCCTCACTTGTTACTTCAGCATTGCTATGCAGTGTATGGAGACTACTGGTTATATAGAGCTTGTTGAAACAATCCTGGAGTTTTTGATGAAATTACTCATCACTCATTTTTTCAGTGATATGGTTGATAAGCATGACTTGTTATCACAATAGAAATATCACAGAAAACTTCTCTGAAGTGTTGGGTGTAGTAGCCTTGGGGCAGTCAATCTTTTCCTGCTGTATTTGTCCTTGTGCACATCACCATGCACCTAATGTTTGATAAAGTGGATTATGGGAGCAAATCCTTAAGGTAGCTACTAAGGATTCTCTTTTTTCTCTTTAGATGTGGGCCAGTTCCTGACAAATATCAGAACAATTTTGCAGTCACTCTTATCTCAATATAGTGGCAAAAAAATAGTAGAAAAAATAAGTAGCTCTGTCTTTGCTATGGCAACTCGTCAGCTGGTAAGTGACCCATGGGATTTTATCCTGATCCTGGTGGCATGGCTGTGACTCTGGCATTTTCATGACTGACCCCTGTGTTTGCTCCTAGGTCATCTTCTTGTTGGATTTTTGCACTTTAGACATTCCGTACTGTACTCTGCTACAGGGATTCAGCACTTTGATAGAACCACTGAAAAGCCTTTGTAGTGAACCTCATAAGGTAACTAAAGACACAAGCACTATTAAACATAGTGAAGCAAAAGCAAAATCGCAAGAAAGATGTAGAAAACTGATTCTGTTGGTGAGGTTTGGAAAAGAGCTAGAGAGCTTCTAAAAGTGTGGGATGTGTAATGAAATGTTGAGTGAAGAATGAAAAACATATATGCTGATATGGGAGATGGGCAAAGTGATCAGAAAGTGCAACTGGAGTGAGCAGCCTGGAAGGTAGATAGGGAGGAGGGGATTCTGAGGGTAAAGAGGAAAAGAAATTAAAAATAGTATATGCTTAGCATATTTAGCTTCACTGCTTGTGGTGATGCAAATAAAGTCTGTATGTCTGTAGTGTAGATGTTTAAATCTGCATTAGTCATCCAGACTCTTTTTGTCATGACTGGAGACTTGTAGTCACTTGTGGTGAGACAGTCTCCTCCTGAGTCTCCTCCTGCAGTACTCTGGGTGGGTTTTGCTTTAGAAATGTTTCCTTACTATGATTACCGAGGATGTCTTCAGAACTAATTCCAGTGTAAATTAATGCTGTAGCCTTTTAAATGCCATTTGTATGCACATCTGGCAACTTAAAAGCATAGACACAAAAATCTAGTGTGGTAATTTGTTTTCTTCTTACCTTTATATCTAAGAATGCATTTTTGTTGTACAGATGGACATGGAAAGCTGGCAGCAGGAGCAGCCTGTAGTATTGCGGACATGGACAATGGAGTCACCTCATAACTATGAAAATAATTGCCATGAGGTCTCAGTCTTCCTGTGTCATGGGGCAACTTACTTTGAGGTGGAATTTGATGAAAAATGTGAAACTGAAAGGAGGTAATTTAATCTGTGTTAAATTCCAGTGTCTGTTTGCAGAGAGGCAATTCATGATTCAATGGGCACTCCACACATGCCATTTCAATTTCTTCATTGTCCAGAGCAATACACAATATATATTTTTTGAATGACTTTGTGCTGAAAGCTACCTCTCCTGGAAAATTTACAGATATGCTGTTCATATGAATTTTGCTTCCTTTGGCCTTGATCTGTTTTATAATAATGCTGTGACCACCACAGTTTGTGCTCGTGGTGTTTATTTTGCCCTCTTTCTATTGGCTTGGTTTCTCTTGGTAACACATCAGGCTACTGCTTAGTTAAAGCATTTGCCAGATGTTAGATTTGGCATCCATTACCAATTCCAAAGTCCTGCAGGACAGCAGATCTGTGTTTGCTGGGACTTCTGCATTGAAACATGAAATAAATTCCTTAGCAGTCACATGAAGGTGTGGTTCAGAAAGAAGTGACAGGGTGCACTTAGATACAGCACTTGTGAAAATCCAAAAGCAAAACCATTCTCCCTCAAAACTTAAAAAGTAAATTTGGAAGTAATGAATTGCAATTTTCACAGGTATGATTACCTGGAGTTTACTGATGCCAGAGGGGCAAAAACTCGTTACGATACAAAGGTTGGCACTGAGAAATGGCCCAAGGTGAGCACCTTTAAAATTCTGAACCAAATTATTTATCCAATCTTAGGAGTCCTTATGATTCCTGTGGAAACCTTCTAATAATGTAGAAGGATATGTGCTTTTGTGCATGGGTATGTTTATTAGATTTCTTAGGTGGGGAGCAGGAGATGGGGAAGAAAGTCTGAAATGCTGCAAATAAAAGGAATAAATGAGTAAAGAATCCCTCTTTGCTCCTGTAATCAAAAGAACAATCAGTTAATGTGAAAAGGAATAATCATGTTTAACTGCCAATAATACATGGGTAAAACTTGCTCTGCCCTTGAAAGGTTTTATATTGTAAAACAAGTGTGGCCCTTCCTGAGGCTGTGCTCTGTCCTCAAATGGGATGCTGCTCTTCTGTTTTGTGGCTCTGACTTTTAAAGCTCAATCATCTATAAAATTGCTTATTAAACTCTTGAATAGAAATTTTACCTGCTTAGTACTATGGGTTTCTCATTGAGATAGTGGGGGAAATCAGATCTATTATGGCCAGAACATAATACTGAAACCCCAGAGTTGCTGAAGGGAATTCATTACCCTAAAACATTTTCCTGTCGTGTACATTTGGCAAAATGACTGTTTTGTTGCTCTGTAGAAAGTGACCTTTAAGGCTGGCCCACGGCTGCAGTTTCTCTTTCACTCTGACAGCAGCAATAATGAGTGGGGCTACAAGTTCTCTGTCACTGCTTACGGCCTCCCAGACGTTGCCGTGTCTTGGGGCTTGGATTTACAGCTGCTTGTCTCCCGCCTGATGGGGCGCTTGGCTTCCCGCAGCATGGCCCTCAGATCCCTGCGAGGTGAGTGCTGCAACACCTGCACACGGCAGTGCCATCCTCCATCCTCAGCATCCCCGGAGAAAAGTAAAGAAGTAGAAAAGAAAGTGATAAAAATAGTGAAAAGAAAGTTCCTTTTCTGTTTCTTTCGCATGTGAGACACTCGTTTTAGAAAACTCATGTGGGACACTCATTTTAGGATTTTAGATTTGCTGGAATTAATTAAAGCAGATAGATAGCTAGGCCTTGCTGGAAATAATTAAGAGTTAGTAGTTAGTTAAAAGAAGCTGGATTTGAGATAGTTGTCTCGGATTTAAATAACTGATTACTTGTCATTTTGATGTTTGCTCACCTGGGTTTGCAATGAGAAAAGGAGAAAGTGATAAATAGATCTAAAGAAACACAAACAATTGTGAATCTTTTACATCTTGAAATCAAAGTCATGGAGGGAGGAAATTGGAGATCTCCCAGAGCTCATTTGTATTGTCATCTATGGGAGGGGTTGAAAGTTCAGGGCAAGGAAGACTCACCTTATTTCCTCTTTTCACAACCCCTCCCCACAAAAAAGACCCAACTGAGAAAAGCAAACCACACGTGCTTAATAGCCATTCAAGCTAATGACCATAGGAAGCAGGGAATGGGAAGTGCTGGTGTTATGTAATCATTCAAAACTTTTGTAAATAAACAGGCTCTGGAATCAGCTGGGACTTTGCAGTGCATATTGGGGACTACCCCATGCAGCTGCCCAGCACTGAATGAAACATTCACTTTGTAACTCCAAACTGATAGAGAGGCTTTTGTCCATCACAGCTGGGTATCAGTATTAGATCAAGACCCACATTTTAGTAAATCACACGAATGTGGACGACTTGATGTGTTGCAAGTCCATGGAAGACATGCACTCACAGAAGTGCTATTAAGCTAAATTACATTTCTGAAGTAGTATGTTCTTTTTTTTTTTTCCATTTAAAATTGTTCCCTGGTGCTGTCATCCACCCTACATTGGGAGTGTGAATATGGAGCCAACAAACTGAAAAAATGGCAGGGCTTAGGACACAAATGATTCTAAGTTTCACATGAGCATTTGATACTGAATGAAATTTGAAGTCACAAATTAAGGTTGGTTAATTTCAGTACTTAAGTACACTTAGGATTTGGGCCTTGAAGATAAGTAAAATAAATTAAAAAAAAAAATTAAAAAAGTTTATTGTTAAATTTAAAAACAATACTTGTCCCTGTCTTCCTAAATCTGAATCCATCCACCACTTAGAAGAAATAAAATAAGGCTAAAGAGTTCTTGCTCCAATCAGGTGGTGCATATTTACCTTGGAAAATTTGACAGCTATTTACCTGTGAATTCAGGGAACTAATTGAAGTGGTTGATAATATTTTCTTCCTTTCTTAATATAAGCATGCTTGCATATAACAAGTTAAGTGTTTAGTAGGAAAGATAGCTTTTAAACTCTTTTAAATCAGAAAATTGCTGTAGTTATAATGTAGTGAAAATGTTTAATTTAAAATCCTTCAATATTGTAACATTGTCACTGTAAGATAAGATATTGATGCTGCCATTAATGAAAGGGTACATCAGTTTTCTGTATCATGTTAGAAAAATACAGAACATTGTTAAATTACTTGTTCAGTCTTTGCATTAACTTTTTGTTGTGTGTCAGGTTTTTTTTTCCTACTGAATGTTTAACATTTATTATTTTCATTAATCTATAAAAATGAAGAAAATTATTTAGTAACTGAAGGATCTGTTCTGAATTTCTTGCAGAATTAGGTAGTGAAGCAGACTTGCCTCCTTTGAAAGTAACAGCAGTTCTTAATTCTCCTCTGTGGAAGCTTGTCTTCAGGCATCAGATGTGTTCTGAGGCACTCCCGGGGGCCAGGCAAAGCACTGCCAAGCACCAAGACAAAAATAAGGTATTTACCCCTGCCTGTGTTCCCTTGGCATGAAATCCACGTGTGTCACCCAGCTGCCTTTGGCTGTGTGGAGCTGGAATGCCATTAAGCCCATGGTGCTGTGCTAAACTTGTCATTTGTGCTGTTGGATTCAAACCCCAAGGAGGAAAGAAGCTGTTGTTCTGTGCCCTTTATTCATTTCCATTTTCATGGAATCATAAAATGGTTTGGAGAGACCTTCACAGATCATCTGCTTCACTCCCCACCTTGTGCAGGGATGTCTTTATTGCTCACTTTGCTCAGCTCTAGTGGCTAAAGCTGACTTGGAGCTGCTGTGTTTTTGTCAGCCAGTTGTTGAAGTTGTGTTTTGTTCACCCTTGTCTGCAGGCTCGGAGCTCTCCCCACGACGTCTGCCGTAAATTTCTTATCGACTTTGCAAAATCAGATCCTGCCCAGGACTTCAGTGGGCAAAAATCTGAACTTTTCAGAGGACTTATACAGGCATGTAAAAAACAGACCCCAAAGACAGATGTAGTTGCTGGTCCTACTGTTGATCAAGCTGTGAACTCAACATTTGCTGCTTTGGTGTATCTCACTCCAGATTTATTTGAGAAGCTTCAAAAATATGGTAACTCTAATATTATTAGATTATCTTAATAATGAAGACTTACAGTTTGTAAAAGGCTTTCTTACAGCTGAGTTTATAATATTTAAACAACAGTTTAGTGTGGCAATTTAAAGAAGATATTCTGTAAAAAAGTCTCATTTAGTCAGTCTAGGTAAGCTTTCTGTCTAGAGTTTTTATTTTTTATTGACATATATTTGTCTTCAGAGCACTGGCAAAATATTAATAACCACCAGAAGCTACTAATTCTGTAAAGATATACCTAAAGAGGGTAGTGATGTCCTCTGGAGCTTTAATTCAGAACAATGTGGCTTCAGTTCTTACAGGTTCTTGGATCATTTTCTACATTGTAACTTTTCTAAAAAGCCAGCAACAACTTCTGTTATTAACTGTTGGGGTTGGAGGAGGTGTGAATTATCTCCCAAAATACCATTCTGTGGAAATCAACCCTGCCATCCTCAGAATATATATTTAACTTTTTTCTTCATATCGAAGATAATGCTTTGCCTTTAACTTACTGGCCATTGGATTACAATTTATGTATTTTTCGGTAGATGAAATGAGCAACTTTTTGACTTAAAACATCCTTCTATTAAGTTTATTGATATGTTTGAAGTATTGGATAACAAGATGTTACTTGGTTTTGAAGGATTTCATTTTAGGTTTTCACTTTTTGTCATAATTTTGACACTAAACATTTTACATTTTCATAGAATGATTGAGCTATTTTTTGAGCTGTGAGGTTATGAGTAAAAATGACTGACACAAAGACTGATTTGATGACTAATGTGGTTACTGCCTTTAGTCATTTTGTCTGTGTCTGACAATTGAGCTAATTTTCTGAGTGACATTGAAAACTGGACAAATATTAATGAGTGTTTAAAAAATCCGTCCCACTGTTCTGTCAGTATTGTCATCTGCTGGTCGTGCTGGGGCAGGACCCCTGTTCACCTGTGCTGTGGGAAGTTTGGAGAAGGGATGCTGGAAAGAATACAGGAAAAAAATTAGAAAGAGAGAATGGAAGAGGGAAAACTGAATAAGAATGTGTTTTTCTACATAGCCATTGTCAGGGCAGTTTGAATAGAAACTGATTTGTCAGGTTTTTAATTTTTGCAAATTGGTCTTGAAAATCCCTTCCAGAAATTCATAATATAAAGCAGTAGAGAAAACAAATACATCTATAGAGCTTTAAGTTACTACTAGTCATTTGTTGGTTTTTCTGATAAGTTTGCATCAGTACTTTTGCTTGCATAGGAAGGATTTTATTTTCTATGGCTTCAGGCATTAATTCTGGGAAGAGATGAGAAAGATACTGGTAAATGAACTATGTGAATAAAATCAGTCAAGGTGCAGTTGATGTATTTAGGATGTATGCAAGTTGGCAGGTTTATTCTCTATTTTTCTTACAGGTATAATTCCAAGTATTGACTAAGAGGTGAAGGGAAGGCTGTAGCTTAATTTTAGTTAAGTAGTTGTGTAAAAATGGAACTGTAAATAAAAAGGACTCTCTTCTTTCTCTCATTTCCAGTCAACAGTGGAGGCAAGGTGCCTTTGAGTGATGAATTTGCACAAGTATATTCCCTGGCTGATTCCATTAGAATATGGATGGTAAGAACACTCAGGAGGATCTCTGTTAATATCTAAATATTAAGTAAAGTCATTTACTTTAGTACTTTACAATGTTAAGGAGTAGGGTGGAAGAGCTTTTCCTTCAGTTACTCTACATCAACTCCTTTCACTTAGAAAGAACATATGTTCTTTGAAATATGAACTTTGAAACTTTGGACTTAAATGTTTAAGTGCATCCTTACACTCATCTCCTTTTCTCAGCCCCAGATGTGTCATCATGAGTAGTCAGGACTGAATTTGACTGAAAATCAATTAAATATGTGTTATATTTTAACAAGAACACATGTTGTAAATTAGAAGGATTCTAGCATTGGAGTTCTTTTGAGGTATATCATAGAAAGAATTGTGTGTCTTAAACATCATTCCATTGTCTTGTGACTTTCTCCCTCCTCTTTTCTGCCTAAGAATTCCTGGCAGGTTGATGTAGTAGAGGTTCAGTGGGTGCAGTAATTGCCTTTACCCATTGCATGACAGGTGATGTTTGCATCTGACAGAGTTGCTAGTGGGGTGACGTGTTTTTGGAGGACTTTATCTCACAACTAGATCTATAACTGAGTGCTGAGGGTAAATTAGAAGCTTTCTTTTCCTTGGAGGATTGATGCACCTCAAATCACAAGACAGGGAATGGTCTCAGCCTGCAAAGCTCGAGCAGCTCAGGGTGAGGCTGTTACTGCTGTGACAGTTCAGGTGCTGCTCTTTGAGGCTCCTGGCTGGTTTGCTCTGCACTTGGGAATAGTAACTACTGTCATCTATTCCTGAGATTAAATTCCTTTCAATCATTACAGTCTTCATCCTGCCTTGCTGTATAGATACACAGAGAGAATCATATTTTAACTATATTAACGTCCTGTCTACAGTTGGAAATGAAGCAGAAATCCCTGATGGGGAGGGGAAATGATGCTGAGGAGAAGCAGAACACAGAAGCAAGTGAGGTGAACCCAGAAACTCTCGGTGAGTGTTGCCTTGTATGCTTGAGCATTCCAGGTAGCTTAGGAAAGCATTGCCTTGTAAACCTGGAGACATTATTTTTACTGTGAAAGGTAAGTTAGCAACTGGGTTACTTTTTCATACCTCAAGAGAGAGCCTAGTGTACATTGGATTAATTATCTGGGATTGTGTTCTGCTATTCTTTGTTTTTCTTACTGAAAACAGTAAGAATATTCTGCAGGGAGTGACCTTTCACTTGGGTCACCTGGTTCTGAACTCATGTTCATCTGTTTTTGTAGATACATATTGCCACATTTAACTGATGTTAGCAGCTGATTGTTATTAGAACAAAATGTGTTCTCACTGACTACTCTGTACTTCATATGGTTCAGTGTGATTATTCAGATTTAGCATTTGGAAATCTGAACTTAAGCAACCAGTAGCATCACGATCATTCTAACAAGAAAAGCAGTATTTTCTAGCTGTCTCAACTGAGAAGAAATAAGATAAATCACTTTCTTCCTAAGCATAAGACAGCAAATTTGTTGTTCTGTTGTCATGATTTTAACTCATGTAATTTTTATGCTGCAGCAAAACTTTGTGTGCAGAAGAGCCTTTTGTTACTGAATTTTTTGCCTGTAAGAGCAAAGACGAAAGATTCTGCCTCAGAGAATTTGGAAGCCCAAGACATGGATGATCCCCAGCAGTATGTGAGGGATAAATGCCAAAGACAAGGATCAACTGTGGACATGGACTTCCAGGCAGCACAGCCAGTGTCATCCCGTTCAAAAGAAAGGGTTCAAACCTCACAGTCTGATCTGAAAGTTAAACAAATTCCAGGCCTCCACCAAGCAGAAGCTGCATCTGCATTTCATAGTAAGCCTGTTGAAAGTGCAGCTTCCCAGCAGGAAGATGTGTCATCACCTCCTTCCACTCCTACACGGAAGTCTCAGCTGGGCCGGGGAAGACTGAGGCTGCTGTCCTTCAGGTCAATGGAAGAGCCAAGAGCTGTGCCTACTGTGAAGGAAAAATATCCTATTTTGAAGAACATATTAGACTTTATTAAGGATCAATCACTTTCACATGAAAGGTAAGCAAATAGAAAATGTTGTCAGTTATACAGGAGCTTGTCTTCACACCTCTTCAGGTGGAATAAACTATTTTAGCAGCAAGATAATATGGCAGAATATTTTGTATGTAAGCAGTTGTCAGATTTATGTGTCAAACTTCAGTTTTTCACAAGGATGTAGGGACTCAGAGAGTACTATTTTATTTCATTTGCTCCTATCACATAGAACAGAGTGTAAAAAACAGTCACTAGGCAATTTATTGTCTTGCTTCCTCAGATGTGTTTGCAGAGGTGTTTTGCTTTTTATCTACAAAAGCAAAGAAATGGTGTATCACTATTACCAATCCTTGGTACCAAATAGAGACATGTTACATCTCTCATTAAATTAGCTGGTATTCCGAAAATGTAAATCAAAAGAGAGATTTCCAATGCTCAGCTTGTCTGTTTTGAGCTCTAGAACATGGAGTGGTGCAGGAAGAGCTGGATTCTGTTTGAAGCTTTATCACTCACTCCAACTAATACACTGAAATACAGCTGGAAATTCAGACACAAAGCAATTGTGTAACTAGTCAAGCACTTCTTGAATTGTTTTTTTTTATTTGTGTTGTTTTAAGCACAGTGTTCTGAAGTTTTCACTGGTATTTTTTTGCTTTCAGTGTTTTAAAGGTTCTTGCTTTGAGAAAATCCCAAGGGCAGAGCATTATGGAAGTGCTCAAGACCATCCGCCAGTGCCTGGACTCTCTTGGGCAGCCTCACTGCTTCCACCCACCCTGTGTACTTTTTCTCCTAGAACTTCTAGCCTGTCAGAAAGATTTTACAAAGTAAGTCATTATTTAGGCAAATCTCAGCCATGTTATTTACTGTCTCAGTTCTTGTGTTTCTCCAGGCATGTATATTGACAAGAGTAGAAATTTCTGCTTTTTTTCAGGACTTGAGGTTGTTTTCAGGCTAGTAGGCATATCTTGTATACTTCATGAAAAAAACCCCAATTAGTATTAATTATTAATTATTTTCAAGTGGGACTTGTTTGCACAGCTGTTCATGCCATGATCATGTTTAGGTGTGATCTCTGTGTTGTGTCTGGCCAGTGCTGTCAGAACTCTGTCACTTGGCTTCTCACTTGTCAGGAACTTTCTGTGGTCATCTTGCAATGCACTGATTTCCTTTAAGATCTTGATTAGATTTTCATAAAGCAACTTTTTAATTTAAAGGAATGTTCTCTTCTTAGTGCTATGAGAATATTCTCTTTGCCTGTTTCATTTCTTCACTTCTGATTCCTGGTACAGGATTCTTTCATTTTTGTTTGAAACTTCTAGACTGTGTTTTTAAATAAAACTAACATCCTTCCCACTTGTGGAGAGGGGTTAAAAAGGGCCTGTTTGTAAAATTTGCACAAATTATGCTACCTAAAATATCACAGTGAATTCTAGGCTACTAAACCAACTCTTTAATTTGCAGCTACTTTGGAAACTTGGAAGGCTGTGGTGCTGAGCTACACAAAGAGATTCGAGAGTCCTACTATCAGCTTGTTTTGTTCCTGGTCAATTCTGTCAAGGGATTTAGTACAATTAATGACAGGTACAGTACATTGCTTGCTTTATTTATTTCTTTTTTGCATTCTTCCACACCTCTTCCTTTGTAATTTGTTATTTGTCATTTAATGTCTTAATTAATTTTATCTAAAATTTCCATTATTTACTGAACTAAATGAGGTGCCTTGATCTTGTGATCAAAAATGCCAAGTTAGCTTTCTATTACTAGAGGAACAAAGGAAAGCACAAAAACTTATCTGTGTTAAAAACATCACTTACTGCATTTTGTAGTCCCAATTCTGCAGTGTGTCTCTGAAGCTTAGTAATAAAATACTGGAAATAGCAAATTTGTCGTGGAATACTTGGCCAAGGGTAATGCCACAAGAAACATGGCAATTCTGAAGCCATGCTTAAATGTTAAAACTCATGTTTTGGCAACATTCTGGTTAGAATTTGGAGGATTTATAGCCAGGTGTCCTAGAGAAATGAGAATTTTATGGCTAAGGTGTAAGTCTCTCTGACAATAACTTTCAAGTCCTTTGTTCAGTTTCAAGTGAAAATGTCAAAAAGTTTCAAACAGAATAAATTCCTGCAAATACCAAGAAAATGCTGTACTGTAGAGAAGAGACAAACCCTCGCAGGCAATAGCAGTAAAACTGTCTTTATTTTGACTTCCATAGTCTGTACTTGCTAAATTGTGGAAGTTGAATACTTTGATAAACCTGAGTTCCTGCCACAGAGTTACTTTAATGCATAGTAAAGCCTGAAAATCAGTGTCCAAGGGGTTTCTACCCTTCTTCACCACACACACTTTCAGCTCTAGGTCTGTCAACTTTAGGTGAGCTTCGGAGCATTCACGTTTTAATGTCTTCTGGTTTATTTAGGTCATTGCTTCCTGCCTTATCCTGTGTGCAGACAGCTCTTCTCCACCTCCTGGATATGAGCTGGGAGCCCAGTGATCTTTCCTTCTTCGTGGAGATCCAGCTGCCCCATCTCCTCATGACAACCTCACAGGAGAACATCAGCACCCATGACAGTGTCATTTGGTGAGTCAGGAAGGATGCAGTTTTCACATGCTGCTAAATACTGATTCCATTTTATCCACAAAGGTTCCTGAGCTTCCTGCTGGAACAAGCAGTAAGGGTATTCTTAATAAATATGGCATAATTCTGCTCAATATCCAAAGGCTTAACTGAAGTATTTAAATTTTTTTTGCTGGTACAAAAACTATTGGAATTTTATGTCTAACCTGACTACTATTGGAACACTTTGTTTGTTTTGCAGTGTAGCAGGAGGTATATAATGCTGTTTCTTGCCTTGATGAATGTCAAATATTTTTAACGCCTTCATATGGCAATTTTATAGTAGTTGTACTTGCACATGAGCAAATGTGAAGACCAAAAAATCTTTAAACATCTGGTCTGATCTGATCTGCCATCATTCCAAGAGCTGTTTTATAAGAGTAGATTTTCCTGATTTTTGCATTATGGTCCCCTTATGTATTTAAGAACATCCACAGAAGCAAGAAGCAGCTGTCTGTATGGTCATTTATTAACTGAGTGAATGGGATTTCTCACAAGTCTGTTTTTATTAGCATGTTAGAGCACTTTGTTCTTCGTTAAAAAGTAAAGCTTTATTAAAAGGAAGCCTGATAGCAAGCTTAAAATTAAATTTGAATGCTTTTCTTTTAGCCAGTGGAGTGAAGAAGATGAAATTGCAGACTACAAGCAAAACTGTGAATGGATGGATGAATGTCAGGATGTGACGTTTGAGACCTGGTATGAAAAGATAACTCAAGCTGACCCAGAGAAGCAGAGAAAGGTGACCTCATATTTTGTATATTTATCTGCAGAAGGGGTAAATAAGAGACCTTTAAAAGCCTAAAGGGGAGAAAGAAGCCTGATTTATAATTTTTAGAAGTTGAATCTCTGTAGACTTTCAAAAGTCTAAAATGTTTAAAAGATCCCCCATTCATTTTTGGCAAGGGAAATGTTCTGCTTCCTGTCTGAAGCTTTCTCAAAGTCAGAAAATAATACTGAAGTAGACTGTGTTGATTTCTTGCTGTAGATGCACATGTTTGTTGCTCGTTACTGTGACCTGTTGAACGTGGACATATCCTGTGATGGCTGTGATGAAATTGCGCCGTGGCATCGCTACCGCTGCCTGCAGTGCAACGACATGGATCTATGTAAAACTTGTTTCCTTGGTAAGAACCATTCAATAACCGCCCCCCCAAAACCCTGGGTTTGATGCTAAAACAGTATAGATATAAATGTGTATAAATTATACACAAAATGAAGTCAAGCCCTTTTCTCCTGGGTTCTTTGGAAATGTTTAACTGTTCTTTCCCTAGTATGAATGTGATCTTGAAATTAAGAAAGGTCCTTTGTCGAAAAGATTTACAGGGAAATCTTTCTTTACAGGTGGAGTTAAACCTGAAGGACATGAGGATGACCATGAAATGGTGAACATGGAATATGCCTGTGATCACTGCCAAGGAGTTATCATAGGTCGGAGAATGAACTGCAATGTTTGTGATGACTTTGACCTTTGCTATGGATGCTATCATGCAAAGAAATACTCTGACAGGTATTAAAAATGTGATTTGCTTTTCCCCATGTGGCAGAAAGGCAATACGTAGTAGCTAAATACAATCAACCATTCTCATGGTGCTTACTATAAAGCTGTGTCTGACATCAGAATATCTCCTTGGTCTCCTTTGGGGAAACAAAGATAGTTTGGCAAAAATGTTTGGGAACCTTCCTCAGCTTCTGAAGTCAGTTGGTAGCAGTTGTTTTCTGCATGTGGCTAGAAAGCTGCAGGAGTTACCAGTCCTGTATGACAGGATAGAAGAGACACTCACTGCTGTGGAAAACAACGGTTGTCAGTTGACACCAGAGGCCATAAAAACCAGGTCCACAGCTTGAACCTCTGGAATGTGTTGGGTTGTCAGTGGTTTCCTGTGAAGGTGTTTTGTGTTGACTGTGTTGTTTAGCATTCCTAACTGCTGTCCCTTGTCCCTGCAGCCACCTCCCCACGCACAGCATGACCGTGTACCCCATGGTGACCATCCGCATCAGCGACCGGCAGCGCCTCATCCAGCCCTACGTCCACAACTACTCCTGGCTGCTCTTTGCTGCCTTGACTCTCTACAGTGCAGATCTGGCAAATGGGGAGGAAGTAGAAGGAGAGAAACTGGATCCCCAGGTCCTCAATCATGCCAGAGTTCTGCAGCATCAGTGCATTCAGCTCATTGGGGACTGCCTGATGAAAGCACAGCATGGAAAAGGTGAGTCAGCTCCTCGTGCTCTGAACAATGCTTGCTACAAGTGTCAGAAATGTCTGTGGTTACAAGTTTCCAAAGGAAAGGGGAAGCTACTGTGTACTTCACTGAGAAGAACTGTTTATGTAGAAAGCAAATGTAGAACAAGTGTCGTTCAGGGTCATTGGAACATGGAAAATAGAGTGCCTGAGAAAACTAATTTTATGCTTACATAAACATTGGAGACAACTTGGCAAGTCTCTGGATGTTTTTTTTTCCATCGTAGCTGTTGTAAAGGGATCAGTCAATGCAGCTTCATGTTCTTTTGGTAATGTATCACTGACAGCTGAAGGACAGCAAATAACTTGGTGGAAAAATTTTTTGTTCTCCATCTCTTGGGAAGAGATTTTTAACCATGTTTATGGTATAAATTTCTGTCAGTGGTGTTCATTTGTCTGGAAATGGGGGTTTCTGTGAACAAAGACCTACTACAGGAAATAGGATTTTACAATAGGGAACTATTTTGAATGTATCAAAAATTCTAGACTAAAATTCAAATAAGTTCGCTGGCAGTTTTTTTGAGCAGCTCTAATACAGCTGAAATACCACCACCACCAAATATTTACACATGCTCAGTAATTAATCTGATTATAGTATACAGTTCTATCGTGCAAGTGGTCAGAAGATTGAAAAATAAGACAAATGTCACTTGCTACTCATGATTTACACTCTACTGCTTTCTTAAATTAAGACCTCTACCCCAATGACATCCTTGAGCTGGAAGATGTCACCATCTGTCCATCACTAGTATTTAATGGAGCTACATAATTATGTGAGCTTGATAGAAAACATGTTTCTGATGGAGTTAATGTTCAAAAGAAGTTTGTAAGAAGTTTGCAGTTCTCTTTTAAAGTGTTTCAGTTCTGCTTTTTGTCTGTCTTGCCACTCAACAGCTAAATAACTTTCATAACTCTTTTGCTCCCAGGACTGAAAAATTCAGCTCTACTCTGCATGTTACCAGAAGATGAGTCCTTCTCAGAGAATGACAATGTTTCAGGCAGTCCTCCCACAGACAGTGCTCCAAAAAGTCATCCTGGTGATAGAGCAGGGAAGGGAAGAGATGAGAAACGTGGCACAGGCTCTCTGGTGCATCGTAGTGTAAGTACCTGTTCTTTCCAGACCCCCTGATATCAGATGTGTGATCTGATATTAAACATCTTCAGATGCTTAAACAGCCTATTCTGAAAGTGGAACTGAAATAAGGAGTAGTAATGATTTCATTTTAGGTAGAAACTGGAGGGAAAAGGTACAGTTGTTTTTTTCATCAGATCTGGCTGATCAAAAACTTCTTGTTCTGAACTGATTCACAGAAGTGTTGCAGGAGGGGGACATGTCTTGTTCTATGTGAAAGAGCTCTCATTTCCCCTGGTTGTTGGCACTGTTGAGGAGGAGTATGAGTTTCCTGCAGTTTTATACAGTGTTTAAAACTGTTATAGTGTAGTAATTTTATGCAGGGAGATACGAGCAAAATAAAAGAACATAATTTAATTGTGTGGAAGCTTAAGACATGAATACATCAAGAAATTCTTCAGTAGAAAGTTTTAATACTCAAAGAAAAATGTTTGTCAAGTGCAGATGACTGAATTCTTTCCATGCTTGTTCCTGCAGGTACCACATATTGTTTTAATCTTTTAGTACTTCTGTTTTATTTTTAGGGGAAAGGAGATACTCACAAGGAAATCCAGTCTCCTGCAGAAGATAAAGTAGGGAAACAAGAAATTGAAATCAAAGCTGTCTCTGCAAAGAAAGCTGTTGTGAGACAAGAGTCAGACTTGTCTGTGGATGGGAATGGTCCTGCAACAGGTAAAAAATCATTTCTCATTTTCCCTGTCTCAGAAATATCCACTCCTCTGCAAACAAACAGCTGTCCTTTTTATTCCTAATCCAGTTTTGCATATTTTCAAATGTCTGTGTCTGCTTCGTGAAAACCTGCCAGACATTGCTTTGAACAAATGCCTTGCAGTCTGTTTAAAGGAGTCTGGAAATTGGAGTAGATTTCCACAAGTATTTATCCATGTATGGAGATTATAATCTCTATTGGTCTAGCACAACACTTGTGTGTTCTGATGCACTTGGAACCAGAAAATAAGTGTCTTACCCTGTTAAAGACTGGGATTGTAAGAATTTTGATGGTTAAGTGGATCTGTCTGTAGCACTATTACTATTACAGTTATTACTAGCTGGTATAAATTTCTTTACCTTCTGTTTCCATACATTTTTATAAAGACTTTATTTTCAAATTGTAATAATTATTTTTGTAATGTCTGTTTTTAGATTTGGATTATAAAAATTAAGCTATCGCTGATTTCCTTTATTTTTAATGTCACTTAGTGGATTCTATTATTTTGTGTTTATTTTCAAAGCAGGTGACTCCCTCTCAGAGGATTCAACCCAAAAACCAACAGAGAAGGTTTTAATACCTAGCCAGGAACAAGTTTTTGCTGAATGCTCTCAGAAGAGGATTTTGGGGTTGCTGGCAGCTATGTTACCACCTTTCAAATCAGTTAGTTCCTCTTATTTCCATCTGGGTAGTTTTCTAGGTGCACAAATAACATGAATAAAATTTATAGGGATTAAACGTGGGATATGGGCCCATTTTGCTTACATGTTATGAGATGTGAATGAGAATGTCTTCAGACATTGACATCACTAAGGAATGTAAGGGCTTGCTCCTGGGTGGGGGGAGAGGGAAGGGAATTTTAATGTGTCTGTGAAGTAGTGTCTTAACTGTTTAGCAGAGTTTAAATCTTCATGTCAGGTCAGACTAACCAATATCAGGCCAATAACCAAAGTAGGAATGTAGTTTCTCATTCCTTCTGTCCCCTTTGAAAGACCTTTAGAACAGAAGCTTTTGCATGTGCTGACTTCAACTCTTGTTTTCTTTCCCTGCCTCACTGGGATTTTTCTCTCTTCACAGGGCTCCACAATGTCTCTGATCAACCTGGAACAAATCCTTCCACTGATGTTTCATGTTGTAATCTCAAATGCTGGCCACCTGAATGAAACTTATCATTTAACCTTGGGACTCCTGGGCCAGTTAATCCTCAGGCTTATGCCTGCAGAAGTGGATGCTGCTGTGACTAAAATCCTTTCAGCCAAACATAATTTGTTTGTACCAGGAGATGGGTCTACAGTGCCAGAAGGGTGGAAGACAACTCATCTTCTGTTCAGTCTGGGAGCTGTGTGTTTAGACAGGTGCTTCTTACCTTAACCCAATTAGTAAATCTCTACTGAACAGTAATTTTTTTTTCATGTGTGCCTCGTGCATAGGAGGCTTTTTAATAGAAAGGTAATTCAACCTGTACCCTGGTCATGGAAGGGGCTTAGCATCTGCAGCCTTTGTTGCAGTGGGAATCCTCATTTCCTTCCAGAAGAAGGCTGGCTGCTGAGGAGTGGCCCAATTTTCTGTGCTTACCTCCACAGCATACCATGGAGGAGCAAGAATGGTTTGGAAACTACGAGGAAAACCAAAAACACAGTCCTTTATTTTTTGTGTGACATTAATTCTCTCACATTGTTACAAATCTCTTGTGTAACTTGGGGAAGGAGGAGGGTGTGTCACAGAACTATCACCAGTGCTGAGTTCTAGATCTATGTTAGAGTATTTGAGAGAGAAGTTTTTTGTAGTAAAAATTAACTGGAAACAGCAGGGAGGGATAGATTTTGAAGATCTTGAGAAAGCTCTCAAGCATTCTGAGATTAATGTCATGCCTCTTATTTTTTATTCTAACTGTGCTTTACAGGGAGGGTTCATAAACAAATAAAAAAGCATATGAAATTTAAAGGCAGAATATCCAGAGCATAAGCTGAGGGAAAGGATTTCGTCTAAAAACTAACTTTAGTGTAAGAGACCAGTCCCTGTAGGTTATTTATGTGATTCACAGTGTGAGCAGGTGGTCACATACATGGAAAATAAACCTCATGCTGCCATGCAAACAGAAACTTCTGAGATCTAAACTAAAATTCAGAGTTAACAGTGGCAATGTTCAGGCACACTTTAATTTGGGACTGTAGACCCTCTCAGAAATCAGAGTAGTATTTATGCTCTATGGAGAACAAAGCAGAATTCATGTGTCAGGTGGCATGAAAGCTTCAAATATTTGAAAAAACAGTTGTGTAATAATTTGAAAGCTGAAATGACCAGTGATATCTGTCGTGAGGAAGAAGAGCTTCAGTAAGTGTGCAGTCAGGCCTCCTAATGCAGCCTGCTCTGTGTTTGCAGCCGTGTAGGGCTGGACTGGGCCAGCTCCATGGCAGACATCCTTCGGGCTCTGAACTCCTCTGCACAGTGGCACGGAGTGATTGCTGCTTTCACTGACCACTGCATCAAGCAGCTGCCCTTCCAGCTAAAGCACACCAACATCTTCACTTTGTTGGTGCTGGTTGGCTTTCCTGAGGTAAGTGGTCTGTCAGTCCTAAAGAAAACGAAATTGGTTAAAGCTTTTATGTGCCTCTTCTTAAATACTACATATTCCATTAATTAGGGATAACCTTTATAAATTCTAAAAACCTGGTATGTGTCAAGTTCACATCTTTCCACCTGTGCACAATTGATGTTGATGTAATGAAGAAAAAAGAGTTGGTTTTTCCTGGCATTTCTTTGGATGCAGCTTAGAACTGCTATAAGCAAACCAGCTTCATTTATTTCAGTATCTAAAAGGATTTTTATACAAGTAAAACAATCCATTCTCCATATTGATGTTCATAACTGATACATTGCCTATGCAGCACTAAGTTGGTTGTTGTAGACATTTCTTTTACAGACTCAAACTTCCATTTTCTAAAGATGAGCAAATACCAGGCATCAAGCAGTGGTTCAGCTAAAAAATACAATAGCAAGAATAAGCAAAAATCTAAGACATGGCTGTGTATTTGTAAATAAGTATTCCAAATCCTAACTGGAGTTCTGCTGCTGTTTCAGGTGCTGTGTATGGGCACTCGTTCTGTGTACATGGACAATGCTAATGAGCCTCACAACGTGATCATCCTGAAACACTTCACTGAGAAAAACAGGGCAGTGGTTGTAGACATCAAAACCCGAAAGAGAAAAACAGGTTCTGTGACATTTTTGTTTTATCAGAGAATCACACAGTATTTCCTTACAGTTTGTTATGAATACCCAAAAGCAAATGTTAACCAGACCACTGTGCAGGTCTGCAGAGTTTGAATTCCATTATTACTAAGTTGCCTGACTTTCTGCTCATAAGTGACCAAACTCTGCTTGCAGGTCACTGCCAAATTGTGAAGCTTCTGCAGTAATCATTTCGATTATCTTTATTCAGAAAAGGACTTAGAAAACTGTTGAGACCATTCTGTTAATTTAGAAATCTCAGAAATAATTGGCTTTTGATGAAGATGAAGCAGTTGTTTCTGTTTCAAGGTTTGTGTAGTGCTTGTCTTATCCTTTACAAACCTGTGCTTAATGTTCTAGAACAATTGCTAATTTAAAAAAAGTTTGGATATCCCTAAAATTTGGGACCAAGTGAAACATTTAATATGTAACAAATCAGTTGGGTTTTTAGGAGCAAGGGCTTTTCTCTTTGTATGACCTAATATTGTGAAGTTAATAAAGCAAAGTTTGTCCTGAGATTTGACTGCTGAAGTTGTGTAAAAGGCATTTGGAAAAGTCAACAGACTAAACCACTTTTTGATATTGAAGGAAGATTTGAATATAAAAGCTTTTCTTTTTGCTTAACTGTTGACATTTTAAACAGTAAGACCAGCAATATTTATTTCATCATATCAATTGCAGGTCAGAATTTTCCCCATTTTAATTGTAAAATTCAACATGTGCATGCTATGCATGCTGTACTGCTAGTGTGCAAATATGTGCTGTTGCCAGAAGTGACCTGGGGATTTTTAACTTGTTCTGAAAAATGAAATACTTTCTTGCCTGTTGAGGGAATCTGAGAGTTTTTGTCTAAGACCTTCATTAGAACATAATTGATGTAAGGATGTCTCATTTCTCAGCCTACTCATATCTACTAAGAGATGATTCCACAACATTTCCATATGAACCAAGTGAATTGTTTTTTCTCTCCTGCAGTGAAAGACTATCAGTTGATTCAGAAATGTGAGCAGGAGGGCAGTGATTCCCAGACCCAGCTGAGACAGTACCTGCAGCACTTTGTCCTCATCTCCACCCACCTCCTGCAGACCAGCATGGACAGCAGCTATGCTGAGGCCGTGGAAACAACCTGGGTCTTGTCACTTGCTCTGAAGGGCCTTTACAGAACTCTGAAGGTACCTGATGATAGAGAAATAAAAATTCATGTTCTACCCTGAGCTACAGGAACTTGGGTATTGACTGAGCACACTGGGGAATTACTACAAGGGCATTTCTAGGATCCCTTTATTCCCAGTCTGTAGGGTGTTGAAAATGTTGCTGGGCTTTAAATAGCTTTGGTGAGTCTGAGCTGGAAGTTGTTTTGCTTCTCCTCTGTGGGGGCCAGCCATTCAGGAGAGCTCAGGAAGAAATTCCTGGAGATAACATTTTATGGAGTGGAGCCCACTCCTGCAGTATTTGAAAAGGAAGTTTTTCTTTTCTTCTTCTTTTTTTTTATTTTGACTGTCAAATCAAAACACATACTCAGTTACTACCCTGTGCATTTCATAGATGATCCCCTTAAGGGATTTGAAGTGGAGATTTTTATTTTAGGGAAATGAAAAAGATTCCCAGTGTAGTTCATCTGGGCAGGAAATTCACCCAAGGCTATGTGACAAGGCCTTGCAAGCACTGTGATGCATTGTTCCTTTTTTAGTTATTTATTTGTGTGTGTGTCTGTGTGTGCAGATTCATGGCTTTAAGGAGATCCAGTCTGCCTTTCTTCAGTCTGGTTTGCTCAAACTTCTGGTGAAGAAGTGTAGCAAAGGAACTGGCTTCAGTAAGACTTGGCTTCTCCGAGACTTGGAGGTAAGAAAAGTGTCATTTTGTTAAAAGTCAGCCTTCATACAGTGGAATGAAAGATTATGGCAGTGCACTGCCCTCCTGGAGACTTAAGATTATCTCTAATTAGTCTGTAAAAGAATGTTAACTGTATCCCTGAATCTGCCTCCTTCTGCCCATCATAATCGTGTGGATAACAGACTAGTGAAAATCAGCTCCTGCTTTAGAGAATTCAATCTGATTTCATTTGGAAAAAAAATTACAGGATGAGACATTACTCACCTACTCGGATTGTTTTATGGATTTTATTTAGACTGTTCTTGAAAATTCCCTTCTTCAATTTAGAAAATAATCTTAAAGAAAAGCATGACTTGCACAAGATTTTTTGTAGTGCAGGTGGGGAGATCAATGCACATGTGGGCATATTGTTTCACAGTTGTTAATTGCTGAAAGATAAGTGTGGTTCAGCTGTTAGTTATGTTTTATTTTAGGCAGGAGTTGTGTTCATTCATTTTTAGGACTATGATGAAGCCAAAGGGCTGTTTTCAAAGGGGAAGGGTGTGTAGGGGCATCACTGGCATTTTGGTGATAGTCACTTTTGCTCTGTTTTTGTCTTGGAATCTTCAAATCTTTGATGTACTGAAATGGTTAAATAATTACTTTCTCAACTTTCTTTGCACTGTCAGCTAATCACTGAAGTTGTCTTTGCAGCAGCATGGAAGGTGTAACTCATTAATGATGTGGGAAATTGTTTTGTTTTGTGGTTTGGGGTTGGTTTTTTTATTTTTTATGTGTGCTTCTTTGTAAGTAACATGTGTTAAATACTGTCCAGGTCTGACAACGTTCCTCTAAGATGCTGATTGCAAATAAACTAATAATACCTACAGCTGTCACACCATATGCTACCTTTTTCCTGTGTAGATTTTGTCAATAATGCTGTACTCCTCAAAGCAAGATATCAGTTCCCTGGCTGAACAGGAGGATACTGAACTGGAAGACAGGGAACAGGATCAAGATGTGGAGCAGCCTGTTGTTGGTCCTGTTGATTCAGAGCAGAACAAACTTGATCCTCTGGAGGGCCTGGATGAAGCCACCAAAATATGTTTCTTGGTATTTAAATTAGTTTACCTCTTTTTGAGTAAATCTGCATTTGCTAGTTGCATAAAACATTTGGTAATTCATATGTTGTTTTTCTTCGAAATTTATAGAGTATGGGTCTATGATTTCAATGCATAATTCTTTAAAGAAATTGAAATAGAACTACAGTAATGAATGCTAAAAACTCATTATACAGTGCTTTGCTAAATTGCTTCTTCTTATTATTAATCCAGATACTAAGTTCATTAGTTCTCTACCTACAAAGTGGAAAATAATGCCTAGATCATCCTTAAAGAAATGCAGTCTTTCTTTTCCCCCTCTAATGTGTTTTTGAGGTTTTTTTTCCATTTCTTTTTGCTCCTTGCTCAGATGACACACGATGCACTTAATGCACCTCTCCACATTCTTCGAGCCATGTATGAATTGCAGATGAAAAGAACAGATTCCTTTTTCCTGGAAGTTCAGAAGAGGTATGTGAGAGTTTGGGTCCAGCAGAGAAACAGTGATGGGGGGAAATCTAAAATCCTCTCAGTGCTGAATAGAAATTCTTCCAAGGATAAGATTTGGTTTTCATGTGTGAAAAAGTAAGGAAATAAACTGCTGCTAAGTTGTATTTATGGAAGCAAGTCACATCTTCTGAAACCCATCACATGCTCTTCTCTATGAGGTAGCTCCCATGTGAAGATCCACTATGGCTCTGAATTCTGTGAGCTGAGGAAGAGTCAAGAGCTCACATGTGGCTTCTGGTACTCAAAGCATCTCACAGAGACACCATGTTCTCACAGAAATGAGTGATTTTGTAACATTTAAATCCTTTGGCTTGTTAGAACAGGGAAACAGTTAATGTGATAAAAATAGGCAGAGTTTAATCTTTCCAAAACAGAAGGTGGGAAGATTTAATTTGCATTTAATTGCCCTAATTGAGTTTGCATTACTTTGGAAACACATTTGTGTATTTTTGATGTTCTTTTGCCTCTGCCAAGGTTTGATGGAGATGTGATCACCACGGATGAGAGGATCAGGACACTGGCTCAGAAGTGGCAGCCCAGCAAACGCTTGAGACTGGAGGAGCAGAGTTCCAAGGCAGTGGATACAGATATGATCATCTTACCCTGTTTGGTATGGACACCTCTGCAAACAGCAGCCATTGGAAAATAATGAATTTTGGCATTCAGTAGCTTCTGTTTAGTAACTTCAAACCTCTGAATTTTTTTCTACATCTGAAATAATCTGTTATCAATGTTTTATGTCAAAATGAGTGAGCATGTACAAGCAGCAAGTATTTATTCCATGTTATTCCTTCCTTAAGGAAGTGAAACTTGATTCCCAGGTCAGGAGAACAAATTGTGATTGCAGGCTGTAATTTCCTCCCCTTACACAAGAGAGATTATATCTCATTGCTGTAAGCTTATGCCCTGCTACTGTTTTAGCATATTATTGTTATCTTACAGTAAATTCAGCAGAACAAGGAAGCAATGAATTTCTCTTGTAAAGTAGACCCTACACTCACAAGCTTTAGGTTTTGCATTCAATAGCAGGGTGCCACAGCTCTGCTTTATTTTGAGGGCTCACTCCTGGCCATGTGGTGTCACCAGCACAGCTGTTTATCAGTTTCATAGCAAAGGGGAAGGAGCTTCCTGAAGCAATTTCATGTAATTATAAGAAAAAAATGGGCCTTTCAACATCTTATACAGAGGCTGTGAAATATCCATGCTTGGAAATTGTCCAAACTTTAATGGACAAAGCCCTGGTTTTGAAGTTATCTCAAAAGATATTTATTGAAGTCAAATTTGGACCAAGTGATCTCCAAAAGTCCCTCCCAAATTGCCTCATTTCAGGCCACTTGGTAGCTTTACCTCTGTAGGTGAGCTTCAGTTAACACTTCTGGTTAGAATTCTGGCTGCTGTTTCCACAAATGCATCAGTGTGTAGTGAGGTGTGTAGACATGAACAGTGTTTCTCAGGAAATCTGTAGCTCTGACAGATCCCACTTTTCTGGGGTTTTTGGGCCAAATTAATTTGTAAATTCAGCTTGCCGTTTGACTTTTCAGATATCCAAACATAAGTCAATAAAATTATTGACAGCCTCTTTTCAAACTTGCATTTTTCTTCTTGCAGTCCAAGCCTGTCCTCTGTGATAAAGCAACAGAAGAAACCAATCCTGTAGCCCAGAAACTCATCACCAACACAGAGAGTGACCTGCAGCTCAGCTATGCCAAGCAGCGACGCACCAAGAGCTCCATCCTCCTGCACAAGGAGCTGGACTCCAGGAGCAAAAAGGCTGTGAGGGAATACTTGTACCGTGTCAATGAGGCAATTGCAGTTCTGTATGCCAGGCATGTGCTGGCATCCTTGTTAGCTGAGTGGCCTGATGATGTGGCAATAAATGAGGAAATCCTAGACCTCAGTGGCCCAGCCCATATGACATACATCCTGGACATGCTGATGCAGCTAGAGGAGAAGCAGCTGTGGGAAAAAGTAAGTGGATTTCACTTGGACATGTGAACAAAACCTGTGCCTACATGCCCTGAGACTCTGACTAATAAAAATACTTGCAGTTGCTTTATTCAACTAAATTGAAACTCCGACATTTAAATTAGTTCTGAAAAAAAAACCAGTTGGAATATTTCAGTGTCCTGATGTGCTGATCTTGTTAACAGAAAATGGAAAAAGTAGCTCTGTAGAGAGAAGTCTTTCAGTTATGAAAGAGAAATTCGTAAAATATGCAATCTGTTTTGAAAACAGACAATCTAGATGGTAATCTAGAGAAATTGGTAAAATAGGCAGTGCCTTTTAAACGCTGCTTTTTCTTAGATCTCAATGTGTCTATTGTAATTCCTGCTACTCCACTGATGAGCTGGTGGTGGAACTGATCTTGGAATTACAATAGAATGTTGTAAGAAAATGTCAGCTCAAGGCTTCACAGCAGTCAAAGCAAATCAAGTGATGGGAATCTTCAAAGAAGGAATGAAAAATAAAGCAGAAGGCATTGATATGCCACTGAACCAATACTATGCACTCTTTTGGACTGCAGTGACTCTCTCATCTCATTAAAAAATTAAAATACAATGCAGTACAATTGGAAGAGGCCTAGAGAAGAATGACAGGAATTATTACAGCCATGGAATAACTTCAGTACGAGGAACCAACAGGTTTTCTTCATTCTGGATCTTTCCCCTGCGGGGCACTGAGGGAGGGGGAGTAATGGAAAAGTCTGTTCCTCTTTCTCTGTAGATTTAAAGCAGTAAATAGCATACAAAAGAGCAAGTATTATTCACTGGCCCTCCCAATAAGAAAACAAAGGAGTGTCAGATTAAGGTAATAAGTGGCAGGTCCAAAACAAACCAAAAGAACAGGTTCTTGACACAGTAAGTCATGGAAATTGTTGCCCCAGGGTGTTTTTATGGCTTCAGAAAAGGGCAGGATGAACTGATAGAATAAAATCTATTAAGGCATATTAAATGCAAAAGCCTAGCCTTTGTCTTAGGCTGTTCTGCAAGGCAAAGAGTGCCTTCAGGGAGCTGCTAAATGCTGCCTTTGTTTTTTAAATTCCTTTTCCCAAGAAATCAGTTTTTGGTGGATTTGCTGGCCTGAGCTGGTGTATTATATTTTATAGGAAGAGTTAGGAGGTGGCAGATGAAGACATGTAATGAGTTGTTCTGATGATCTGAAAGGGCCTCAAGTAACAGAATTCCTAACTCAGGGCTTTTATGCACCGGTATGAAAATAAGAAAAAGGGAGACTCAAGTGGTTGTGAATTATATTTAGTGTGTCCTGGTGTTTGGGTAGTTTAAATTGCACAGGACTTGCATATGCTGCTTTCAAAACTTCAGCCATTTAATTGATACTTAATCATTTCTTCTTATGCACAGAATTGTACTTTTTTTTTGAAGGCTGAAATAGATGACATATTCTATTTAAATCAAAACCTGTAGGTATAGAAAGTGCCTGTTTAGTATGGTAACAAAGTTGTTTATCTCACTTGATGACAGCTTTAGTTTCCTGTTAATTATTTTATGGATTAGCATTGATTCTAGCATTTGTGTGAAGAGACATAGCCAATATCTGTCGTGCTTTTATCAAATGAAGAATGAAAGATCTAGAACAGAGGGCAGAGTGAAATCTTTTGTGCTTATGGAGATGACACTTGTAGGCATCATTTGTGAATTTATTTTGTTTCTTGCTGGTACCTTGATTGTCTCTTCCAAAATATTATGTGGCTGGACATGACTCGTGTCAGCCATCAGCATGACAGTTATAAATGTTCTTTTGACAGCAAATTGTATTTACATGAGGTTTCTCCTCCCCAGATTCTCCAGAAAGTGCTGCATGGCTGCAAGGAGAGCATGCTGGGGACCATGGCCCTGACAGCCTGTCAGTTCATGGAGGAGCCAGGGATGGCAGTGCAGATGAGGGAATCCCAGCATCCTTACAACAACAATACCAACTTTGAGGTAAGGCAGGCATGGATTGCAGGGCATGACTTGAAGCTGAAATCACCCAGGGCTTGGAGCAGAAACCTCTCAGAGTTCCACGTGGGTATCTGTGGGACTTAGGTGCTGAAGCACCTGTGAAGTCAGGTCAGTCTTGCTTGGAAAAGGCTGATGTCAGATAGCTCAGGCCTTGCCCAGCATAGAAATGTGTTCAATCAGGCACTTCAATGTAATTCTAATTCAATCATATGAAAAGTGCATCACTTACATGGTTTTACTGTGCATGTATTTGAAGCAGATCAGATTTGTAAATAGTTTCAAAGCCTTAATGATCAAATATTTCTACCCCTCCTTCCAAAGATCTGTTTCAGTTACTCCCTTGTGCTATTAGATTAAAGTAGGAATGGTGCCTTTTTTCTTATATTTCTCATTTTAGACTCTTTCCCTGACACAAACAGTTTCTTCTCTTGATACTGTTTGCATGCATTTTTCTGATATAGTTTGGTAAGTAATTATTGCCTCTGGGCAGTCTTGGGATTTTCAATTTCCTTGCTGCTCTGACTCTTCTGGTTTTTATTTTTAAAATGCATATAACCCCTTAGGTTCTGGCAGTGAGATTTATATCAGCAGCTATCACTGCTTTTGAAAAAGGAAAGCATTGCTGGCAATTCATTTTACATGCTTAATAGCTAGTGTGAACAATAGGCCATGCTTTACATTTGTTAAATTAGCTCTGAGTAAAAATATCAAAGAGGTTTTTTTTACTCACAGAGATGCTGTAATATTTTTTATGTCTCCCTTATTTGTATGGTGAAAGTTAAATGGGTTCTGGGTGGCTCAGTGTGACAGGACTCAAAGCTGTTGTGTTTATTCCTCAGGATAAAGTTCACATTCCTGGTGCTATCTACCTCTCCATCAAGTTTGACTCGCAGTGTAACACGGAGGAGGGCTGTGATGAGCTGCTCATGTCCAGCAGCAGTGACTTCCAGCAGGACCGGCACAGCTTCAGTGGCTCTCCCCAGAAATGGACTGACTTCGAGCTTCCAGGTGAGTGCACTGATTCAGGCTTCTGTAGGATATTGCTGAGGCTCCTGAGAGAAACTGCTGATGAGTTCAATGTGGATGTTCCCGAGATGTGTAGGAAAAAAGCCAGTTCTTTCATTGTCCCACTCTGTTTGCTCTGACGTGCTGCTCTTGCATTTGTTTCTGAAAAGTGGCTTATCTGTTGTTGTGCTGTGACCTTTTCTTTCCACCCCTTAGCCAAAGCATGCACTCAGCTACTGGAAACAAATTTGATCTTGATTCTGTTCCAGCACAGTCCTTGTTCTGCACGATATTCACTTACATTGTTTATGCCTTGTCTTACTTTCCACAGGAAGCACATTTTTTTATTTAAAAAAAGAGAAATATATGCTTATCTCTGTCTGTGTGCTCTGCTGCTGCTCTGAGCAAAGAGAACCAGTGCCAGCACCTTGGCTCCAGCTGGTGCCACAGAGCACAGCTGGAAAAAACCCAGGCCTTGCCTGCCAGCTGCACTCTGGATTCTCTAAGCACATTGGTGAGAGCACAGTGAGGAGCAAATGCCAGGGAGCTCAAGGACTGCACAGTCCCCTGCTTCTGATTTTAAACTGCTTTAACTCACTGAGCATTGGGGTGCTGCAGAAAGCTCTTGACTTCAAGGACTGTCAGCACCTGTAAAGAGATTTAGGAGCTTTCTTAGCAAACCAGTTTGGGTTACAAGGTGCTGTTCCTGGGTTACAAGGTGCTAGTTAAAAGCACATGTGTGTTCTGTAGGAATACTTTAGATTTTTGTGGACTTCTGTCTGTCTTCTTTTTCCTCCCTAATAGTTGCTGAGGTTTGCCAAGGAGCTGAACTTCGAAGCCCATTGTTTAGAGCAGCCTTGGCTGTGAAACTTGAGTTTCACCTACTGGAAATTCATTTCCAACCCAGGCTGGCTGCATTAAGGCTCTCGATTCCAGCAGGTTTTAGCTGAAAACAGACATTTAAAGGCTTCTGGGCTTTTCATTTGATTGAAGGGATTTCTCCTATGAGTGAAAGAGAACACTGTCTATTTCAGGAAACCTATACAAACCACCACACCATTTCATGAAAAAAAGGACATTCTTTTATAGATATTTCATTTTAAATCCTAAAAAATGTTTTCAAAATTTTTCTTATTTGTGAAACTTTGAAAATTGTGCTTCCCAGTGAAATCTAGCCTGCTTGTCCCAGGGTGACAGGCTTTTTCATGGGGCAGAAAGATATTTTAACAGCTCTAGTATTGTAGAGCACAGTAGGTACAAAGATGTTTTGTAACAGCCAGCCACCAGGATTTATCTTTGAAGGTATAGATGCTACAATGGCAAAAACCTTTTGAATGTTTTTTGCCTGATTGTAAAGTGGTCAAATGTTTTAATAGTCCTTCTGTTTTTAAGTGATTAACAGTTTTCTTGCTTGGAGTAAAAATGTTCAATTTAATTTTCTGCCATGTAAAATTTTTACTTTCAAATATTTTAAACCTTTTGGCCAAGGAATTCAAGTATTGTTATAAAGAACTTGGCTGCCTCTATAGGGGTTCTTGTTTCATAAATCATAACTGATCCAGTAACACAATTGGAAAAGTGAAGTTACATATGCAGAATATGGAGTTTCTTCAATTTTCTCTATTTAGTTGTCAAAAATGTAGAAGACATTATCCTTCCTGTCCAGTATCTTTAGACAGGGGAAACCATTGTGACTTTTGCTTCAGCCTCCTCTTTGTCACCTGTTCTTTGTGTTTCAGTTACCAAAAAATAAAAAACCACCTCTCTTGAACGAAGACATCTAGCGTAAATTAATTTCAGACTTTTTCATTTAAATTGTATTTGAGATGGCAAAATGAACTCAGAAAATAGTAATGTGGGTTTTCTTCCTTCCCTGCACACAGGAGACACACTCTACTACAGATTTACTTCTGACATGAGCAACACTGAGTGGGGTTATAAGTTTACAGTGACAGCAGGTCATCTGGGAAGGTTTCAGACAGGTAAGAGATGCCCAGAATTTATTGAAAAGGGCATTTTTTAGTCATTTTGCTGAGCTTTCAGAGACCTGTGGTTATTCCTTTTCCTTGACTTAGAATTTGCATTCAGTGTCTTAGAAATAACGTGATCAGTTTTGTTCAAGTTGAAACTCAACTGATGTCTCTTTCTTCCTGTGACTTTGGGGTAGAAACACAAAATCTTCACAGAGACTTGGAGATTGCAGTTATAATAATCCAAAATCTCATTAGATGATAGTAATTACATAGAGTATTTAGTAAACACTCCAGGATGCCATAATTGGAAACAGAAATAATGGGAATTGCATTTTTTGAAAGTGGTTATCCATTAAAATAGGATGGTTCTGGGTCTAACTTCTAGCATAAGAGGTTTTGTTAATTTATTTTGAAGTTTAAATACTTTTAATGAAATTGAAGCTGGTGGATAATTTGCTATCAGCAAAGCTCTACTGCATGTCATGTAATAGGGAGGGCCTGTGTTTTGTTTGCCTTATTTGGGCAAAAATTTGATTTTGGATGTGATTCTTTCTAAATTTTATGTAAGTTTTGCCTCAGAAAAGAGTTGCCATGTCAGGATGTAATCTAGGGTTCTCAGATTTTTGTTTGATATTTTAATTCAATATTTCTGGCTTGCAATATTTGGCGTATGGAGAAAACTGAGTTTATGAACAGAATGTATCCCTACAAAACTGACCAGCTGTTTGAATTTAATTTTTTTTTCTTTGCAGGGTTTGAAATTCTCAAGCAGATGCTGTCTGAGGAAAGGGTAATTCCTCATCTTCCACTTTCCAAAATCTGGGAGTGGCAGGTGGGAGTGGCATGTCGCCAAACGGGGCACCAGCGTCTCAAGGCCATCCACCTGCTCCTGAAAATTGTGCAGTGCAGCAGCCAGGGGTGAGTGCACTGCTCCACAGCCTGCTGCAAGGGCAAAGGGCAAGGGAACAAAAAGACACTAAACTCATACTATTTTGAAGCAAAAAAAAAACCCTGTGATTTGAAGCAGGTATTAATAATTGGCCTGTCAGATGCAATTTACAGTGTTTTGATAGCAGAAATGTTTTACTCTCTCTTCTTTCCTGGCTTTTAAAGAAGTCTGTGAATTTAAATGTCACTGTAAAGAAAAAACCATCATCACAAAACAGGACAAAGGTAGATTTCAATTTTCTAGCGATTTATTCTCTTTGTATTAGTTATACTGCAGAATTAAGGTAAGGATGAAATAAAAACCTGGTGAAGTGATGATTTGAGTCTCTGTAAAGTAAATAGCTTATAAGTTATTATTTTTAGTTGTACCCCTGAGCCTGAAATGGAGTTTTGGAAGGGATATGTGTCCTTAAGCTTATATATGTATGACATGAGTATTTCTAGATGTAAGAGCATTTAGCAAAGTGGATAATTTTTAACTGTCAAAAATGTATGGTTTTGTTGTCTTAAATTTGATTTGGTTTTGGTTTTCTCCCCACCTCCCCATTCCCAGAAATGGGCATGGTGGTTATTCACTATTCCATCATGATTTCATTTAAATTTTTTTTTTTTTTTCAGGGACTGTGACCTCACCTTATTGAAGCCACTTTGGCAGCTTTTCACCCATATGGAAAACAACTCATGTCAGGACACAGCCAAGCCTGGTATTCTCCTTCCTCTTCATCGTGCACTGGCAGAACTCTTCTTTGTGACAGAAAACAGAGTTACTGTAAGCAGTTCTTGTCTTTCTATTCCTCCTTTCCTCAGTGCTGGGAATGACAGAGAATTCAGTGTTACACTCAGTGCAGTTTTCCTTTATCCCTCAGAGCTACACAAACATTAATAACTTTCACTTCTGGAGTGTGGCAGCAAATTCTAATTAGAGGGGAATTCTGTTACCTTATCCATCATTGGACTTTAAGTAATAGTCATGACTATTAAGGCCCTTAAAGACACTGTTCATTCTGAGAGCAATCCTGGTTTAATAATTAATTTAAAGGTATTTGCATGTGGTTTTTATTGAGTTGGTTTTGAACTTTAAGTATGAGCAGTGTCATGAGCTCATTTTTGTGATCACAAACTGTGCTCTAGTCTGGGAGAGTCTGGTGTGCAGTTCTGATACCTTTGGTTCTTGGGGACTGCTCTAATGATCAGCATTTTAATGTTAATTAGTAGAATATCACCTTTGGTAGAAACATTGGTGTTCATTGCATGTTTTCTGGCTGCAGGAGCTTGGATCTCTACAGGAGTATTTGCTTGCCTTAAATACTGAAGATCATCTTCATCGCTGCACAGCACAGGTGGGATTGCACAGCCCCAGGGCTGCTGGGTCTGGGACCTTTGTGACACACACTGAATGATTTCTCATTGCCCAGTGGAGTTTATAAAAGACATATTCATGTATTTGGTCATTCCAGTACCTTGGCAGGCCTCTGAAAGTTGTGAATGAGCTATGCACAAATGCTTCTCTAGGATATTGGGAAGGAATTGTTTCCATGAGGGTGGTGAGGCTCTGGCACAGGCTTCCCAAAGCAGCTGTGCCTGCCCCATCCCTGGAAGTGTCCAAGGCCAGGTTGGGTGGGACTTGGAGCAGTGTGGTCTGGTGGAAGATGTCTCTGTCTGTGGCAGGGAATGGAATGAAATGATCTTTAAGGTCCCTTCCAACCCAAACCATTCCATGATTCTAGGTTGCTATTTCTGTTTAGTTTCATAGAATTTTCTTTACACTTCGGGCCCGAGGAGAATATTTGGTGTGACTTTGTTTTTCCCTTTCTTTTCTAGGCCCTGAAAAACATTGCTGCTATCAGCCTTGCCATTAACTATCCAAACA